TGTGCAGCTCTACCTTGCTCTGCACCTTTAACTTCCTATTTATATATTGCCTTTGGATTCTGGAAGCTTCTAGGGGGGTTCTGCAGCTACTCTGTCCCCCTGGCTGCTTCCTGAGTGATGGGTTCTTAATCTGAAAGAAGCTGCTCAAGTAATTCTCTGCCTGCTGAGAGGGACTGTTGGACTGCTATGCTGGGATACTTCTTCCCCTGGCAGGTGGGAGTAGAGCAAGCAGAGCTTTTGGTCTTGTGTGTGGGTGCTGGGGAGTGGCACAAACTCTCCTCCCAGCAGTGGGGACTGGGTGACACCGATGCTGAGGAGCCCCTGGGCCTGATCTGCAGCAGCAGGGAAGAAAGTTCCCCTGGAACACGAGTGGTGACAACCCAGGCAGGGCTTGGGCAGGGGACGTTGTGTCTGAGCCTCTCCCGGGGCTCTGGGTGATGGGCTCCTTCCCTGGGGGAGCTGGGCAGTGGTTCAGGGGCAGTGCTCAAGGACTTGCAGAAGGAGCTGTGCAGACTGATCACTCTTGGGGAGGAGAAATGGGATAGCAGCAGTGTCTGCAGAGAAGGGAGAGCCTAGGCCTGTGGTGCAGGAATGTCTGGGGGCTGTGCTGGCTGGAGCAGTGGATGGAGACAGCCCTGAGAAAGTTGCTGAAGGACTCGTGACAGCAGCAGAAGTATTCCTTGTCCCTGCTGAGACCTAAATGCAGAGAGTTGCTGGGAGCCCTGGTAGCCATGGCAGGGGAGCAGAGGCTGTTAAGGAAACATTCCAAGCCAGCAGTGCCCCGCTGGAGCATCCCCAGTTGTGGAAGCAGTTGCAGAGCCCCTTCTGTGGGGAAGAAAGGAATTTGTCTGCTGTCCAGACATGCTGTCCCAGGACCTTTGCTCTTTGGGAGTGTCCAGGTGCTGGCTGTTGAAGAGAGATGGTCAAGGCTCAGCCAGCCCCAGGGAACGGGTGGGAGGATGGTGAGAAGGGAAAGGAGAAAGGGTGGGAGTTGTGGGGTCATCAGTAGTGCTGCCTTTCTTTCATACAACTAATGTCAAGCATGGGACCATGTACCCTCCCCAGAGCTGAGGTGGGCCTGTGACCAGTCATGAAGAAGAAAGCCCACCTGGCTACATTCTGGTTCTTTTGTCCTGTAGTAGATCCAAGATCCTGAGCGCTTCCAATCATGGATGTGCCAGAGATGGAGAACATCTCCCATACACCAGTTCAGCAGAGATGGAAGTGACATTTCTTGACCTCAAGTGGCCCTACTTCTGGGCATCTCTTAGAGAATATTGTGCATTGTCATTATGGGAGGCTGTTCTTGGCCTCCCAGCCATGACAATGGTGACCCCCATAAATTCTTCTTTAAGGAACCAAGGGACACCTCAAGACCAACTGGCCTTGTCCTTGTGGAGGAATTCACCTGGCCTGGTGTTAACTGGCAACCCCACACAGCTGAGTCAAAAGGGCACAGAAGATTCCTAAAACACCTGGGGAACAACTTCTCAGGACAGGGGCTCATGGAGCCCATTCCCAGAGGAGTCCTCTGGGATTTGGTGCTCCTTCCCAGAGAGGCTCTGGTGGGTCAAGTGGCCATTGGGGACTGTCTTGGCCACAGCCACGGTGCAGCCGTTGAGTTTCCCATCTCTGGGGCTTCGCCTGCTCCCGTCTTGCTCCCGAGATGGACCCGGCACAGGCGAGCACAGCTGGAAAACCAGCATCCTTTATTCATGTGTCCAGGGTGAAGCTGCTGCCCCAAAACAGGTTCTTTCACTTGCAGTGCAAGAAGCCAATCTCCACACACAGACTAGAGGTATTTTATTTTTTTCTTTCTTTATTTCAATTCTGCACAGAAATGGGGTGCTGGCTGGCAAATCCACAGGGCCTCAACAACACCTATCCAAAGTTTTCACAACTTTTATATTTGATCAGACAAGTCATTAATCTTCATTGGCTACAAATCCTATGTTTCTCTCATTAAATTTTTATAGTAAATATTTTCTTAATAACTAAATAACTATTAAATATTATCCTCAATACAATTCTAAAAAAACCCTATATTATTCCTTACTAGCTTACCCTAAAACACTAACTACTGAAGAATTAAGAAAAAGTATTAATCTAATTGAAAATCCTACAAACAAGGAATTGATCCTTGTAAGGCCCGGCCATCCAGGCCAGCCCGTGCTGCTCCCTCAGGGAGCTGTGCAGGCTCCAGGTCAGCTCTCATCTCCGGGGCCCGGCCTGGTGCTGGCAGTGGGCACTAATCCTGCGGCCGTCCCGCCAGGCAGGGGATCCGCAACAGCCGGCGCAGAGCCCGCAGCACCCGCCTGCAGCGGGAGGGACGTTTCCTGGGCACCCGGCTCTCTGCCCCTGCCTCTGGCACCTGCTGTCCGCAGCCAAGAGAAGAGGCTGCCAGTGCCCACTCCTGGGGAGTAGGCTGAAGCTTCTGCAGGAGCTCTGGGTACTTGGGGTTGACCCAGATGGTGCGGATGGTGACGTATTTGCACACTTTCTCCTCCCTGGCAAAGGACCACTGCTCAGGCTGTGGCCCTGGCAGCTCTGCCCTCGACATTGCCCCCTCCGAACAGGGAGGTGAGGGGCTGGGGGGGCAGCAGGGGCTGTGCGGGGCAGGGCCTGGGCTCTCTGCCCCTGCTTCCTCTTCCCACCAGGCAGGAGAAGCCGCTGCCTGTGCTGACCGCTGGGGCGCAGGCTGAGGGTTCTGCAGGAGCTCTGGGTACTTGGGGTTGACCCAGATGGTGCGGATGCTGATGCGTTCCCATTTCTCCTGCCACAGCTCTTGGTCAATGGTGTCAGCCTCTTGGGACAGCTCTGGGTCTCCGCTGACTCTGACTTCCCCTGCAGACATCTCCGGCTCTGCTCTCACTTCCCCTTCGGACAGCTCTTGCTCCACGGAGCCTTCCCACTGCCAAAGCACTTGGTCACTGTCATCTTCTGCCTGGCACAGCTCTTCATCTCTCTTGCCTTCCCACTGGGTCGGCTCTTGGACTTCCACATCTCCCCCTGGGGACACTTCTTGCACTGTCTCCCCTTCCAATTGGGACAGCTCTTGGAGTCTTTGGTTGTTGCATGGGGGCAACACTTGGAGTCTTTCATCTCCCCATTGCATCAGTTCTTGGTACCTCTCAAATTCCTGTTGGAACAGCTCATAGACTCTTTCCTCTCTCTGTCCTTGCAGTGCTTCGTGGTATTTCTCAAATCCCCAGGGGGACAGTTCCTCATATTCCTCATCTTCCCATTGGGACAGCTCTTGGATTTCCTCGGCTTCCCACTGGGACAGGACGTTGTCGGGTTGGGAGTCGGGGTTCACCTTCTCCTTGAGCATCTCCATCGCCCTCTGCCTCAGAGGCTCTCAGGGAGCTGCTGCCTCCTGAGCGAGGTGCTCTCCAAAAAGAGGGCACCCCAGGGTTCTGCGTCCCTTTATTGCCCCCACCCGCGGTGTCACAATGGCCTCTGGGCACGACGCGGCCCCCGCGTCACAAAGGGCCACCCCCGGCACCCCAACAACCATGGAACCACCTGGAAGCGGCTGGAACCGCTTGGATCCATCTGGAACAGGCCTTGCCTGGTCGTGGGCATCCCCCAGGACCTGCAGGCCCTGGTGTGCCCAGACCCCTGGGAGGCTTTGGACACGGTCCCACACGACATCCTGATCTCCACACGGGAGAGCCCTGGGTTTGGAGGGTGGGCAACTTGGGGGATGAGCAATTGGATACATGGATGTAGCCAGGGAGTTGTGGCCAATGGTCCTTGTCCAGGGAGAGGCTGAGGACGAGGGGGTCCCTCAGGGCTCGGCTTTGGGACCAGGGCTCTGCAATGTCTTTACCAGTGACACAGACAGTGGGGTCGAGCTCAGCCTCAGCACCTTGGCAGGTGACAGGAGGCTGAGCAGGCCAGGTGAAACAATAAAGGATGGGGCCATCCAGATGGGCCTGCACAAGCTTGAGAAGTGGGACCATGAGAACCTCCTGAGGTTCAGTGAGGCCAAGTGAACGGGGCTGCACCTGGGTCAGGGCAGCCCCAGAAACACCAAATCATCCAGGGTGGAAGAGACCAGCAAGGTCATCCAGTCACACCCTCACCCAGTACCACCATCATCCCCCCTAAACCATGTCCCTGAGTGCCACATCCATCGCCATGGCTGGGCACAGGGCAGCAACTCAGAACTGCTCTGTGGGCAGATGCACAACAGCCTGACATGCTGAGGGAAACTGAAACATGGTGGGACACCTCACACAACTGCAGCTCTCCAATGAAGGCTCATTAGCAAATGAAGGGCTCCTTAGGAAAGACAGAGAGGGAAAATTTGGAGGAGAATTTTCCTTGAGGTGCAGAAGCAGCTTGAACACATGGACCTGTTCTATACTATGGGCAACGTCTTGGCTGACAGCCTGTGGGTCCCCAAGGATTTGAGTGGGGCACAGTGTTGGGAATTTGTGACAGAGACACTTCCTCACCCTCCTCACTTGACAGTGTCCTTGAAACAGCTTAAGGCAGGCACATGGGAAAGACAGAACTTGAAACTGAGATGCAACACACCAAAAACCCAACCAAAACAAAGCAACCAGAAACACACCAAACAAACAAAGAGTGTTCTAGTATACAGAAAGCAGAAGGAAAAACAGACTAGAAAGGAAGACTTTGAAAACACTGCACCAGTGTGCGACAATAAGAAAAATTAGGTTTGAGTTTCAAGTGGCATGGGGAGATTTAGGGCAGTAAGAAGAGCTTCTCCAGTTGCATCAACAGCAGTCAAAAAACCAAGGAAAATGGAGGTCTGGAATGGTGGTTGAGGGACAGGGAAAACAGAGAGAGCTGGGAAGCCTAGAGGCAGGTTCAACAGGGAAAGATATCAGTAGTGGAAGATTGTGAGGACACAGAATCCAGAATAATTCTGCACTGAATTCTACAACTGACTACCTGCTACATGGAATAAGGGAAGTTTCTGTGAGACTCTGAGATTATAAAAGATCCAAAGATGTACATTCCAGACAGAACCATGAAAGAAATGTTTATTCAACACAACTCACTCTCTTACAAATAACAATATTGCAAGTTTACCACACTAAATTATCTACCTTAAAATATCCTTTTTTCTGGATCTTTGCCTTCAATGGTATCCAGTTACTCTGTTTCTTCTCATTCAACCTCCTAAATCAGTAGTTCCTGCGGAGGTGAAGGAAAGACAAGACATAGAGATGCATTATAAAACACTGGAAAGTAATCCCAGTAACCTGAAACAGAACTCCAGGGCTCTGCTGTCTACCTCAGTCCTCCTTACCCACTGCCTTTCAATGCCAGCACTTGAATTTAACTGTTTTACATTGTTTGTCAGCTGGCAGACAGACTCAGTACACACACACTGACTGCCAGCCAGCCCATATGTAAATCTGGAATAGCCAAAGGATGTCTCCTACTTAGATGATATCATAAGGAATGTGGAGCAAGGATGGAATTTCTTTGTCAACCTAAAATGATGGTAACAGGGCAGGGAATACCGGGCTGCAAGAAAACAGATTTTGTTACATCTGCTCTTTACAGGATCCATAGTTTCTTCATATCATTTCCTCTTCCTGTAACTTCATCTTGCTAAACACGAAGAAAAGGGGAACAATTATGTTGCCTAAATAATTATGGATGGAGACCTATGCTGAAAAATGGATAAAATCATCCAGTCTCCTTGATTCTGGACATGTGTCACATTGCTGTTATTTTCAGGTATTGGTATCAGCCTCTGTGCTGTATCTGACAGATACCTGGGTTTATTTGTTCTTAAAAAGAGTCCCTACAAAAATCAGTGGGAAAACCAGAACTGCTTTTTTGTGGTAGGCCAGAAAAAAATCATTAGAATCAAGCTCAATGCAAATGGTTCTTTGAGCTCAATGGTCTCTGAGACAAACCAGGCTCAGTGCATTTTGCCGATTCCAAAGCACAGGTATGCAGGAAACCTGCTGAGATTTCTGCTGGATCTGATCCAAGCCCAGGGATCCTGTAAGATGTCAGTCCCACACACCAGGTCAGCCACCTGGCTGCTCTGCCCTGAAGCAAGAGAGCACCTTCAGGGACGAACACTGAGCACAAATAAACTATGAAAACTGCAAGAGCTGACCTAAATGTTTTGTGTACACCCCCAGGCATTCTCAGATGGTTCAACAGACTTCCTGACCCCCATGGACAGTGCTTTGCTTCGGTTTATTCCAAAATGGACTGACTACAAATGGTTAAAATTACCTATGATGTTTTTAGACATCATATAATTTACATGCAAGCTTGTACATTTTAACACTTAATAAAATAAAATTAACACAATTGGGTGGAGGCCTATAAGCTAAATATGATTACACACAGATGCATCTTTTTGTTGCTTCTTAGTAACTGTGTATTTAAAACAGGCTTTTGAACAGCTGGGGAGAAAACCTGAGCATCTGAATTTTTAGGAGGAACAAATCAACCAGCGACTGATCAAACCATAATATATGCAATACCTAAAATTTGTTTCTTCAGAGTTATTTTTCCTGCTTTTTAGCTTCACTTGAGAGAATAGGAATACACAGTTTCATTCATGAGAGGAAAGTGGAGCGCTCAAAACTTCCTGAACTTTGCCCAGAGTCTGACATCATCTCTCCCTTTGTATAAGAAACTCTCAGTTTGGAAATTTAATCTCCTACAAATTAAGCTCTGCAAGTGCTGTCAACTGTACATGCAGAAGTGACACAGAAGTGACACAGAAGTGTCACTTTTAATTTGTGCTGTCGCAGTAAATGATCTTGACTACTCATAGTTTACCTCTCTAGAGGACTGTCCCTCTTATCAAAGGCAGAGATTCCTGTGGTCTCTGAGCAGCAGCAGGACTTCACCTGCATTATTTCAGACCCTGACTGCTAATTAAACAATGAGCACACATGCCCCAGTCCTCACCTTGATCCTCCCGAACTTCGTTTGCTTCCTCCTCTTGTCTTCCCTCGCCTTCCTCTCCTGCATCCCTTGCTGGGCTCAAATCTCCACCAGGTTCATGAGCAGAGGGCTCAACATCCCTGCCCTCAGCAGACTCTCCAGTGACTGAAATATGAGAAATTAGAAATACCAAAGAAAACAAATCACAAATGTGCACTCAGCCTTTGCTTTCACGGAGCAGCTACAAACTCCTACTGAAGGCTGCAGTCGTTACTCACATGAGGGATCCCACACAATCTTCTCTAAGTGTTTATGATCAAGCTTGTATGGTATAGACTAAAACAACTCACAGTTGTATCTCATTATGCTACATCAGGTGAAACAGATATACATACATATTGTGCAGTTTAGGAACAGACTTGGCAATTCCAAACACCCAGTACATGGAGATTCATAGGGAAGACAAACCGAAACAAAGCACAACACAAAAACCCTCTCACTCCACTTGATATTAAACCCATAAAACCATGGTCACAATAGTCAGAGCATGGAGTTTCCAGATGTCCAGCAGAACAAACCTTCAGCTGGCGGCATTTCCTCCTCTCCAGTTGCTGCTGCTGCCTCCAGGGGGGTTGCTGTGGGAGTCGGGGGCTTTTCATCCTGGGGGGTCCAGGGTGTTAATTTGGTAATTTCTATTGCTTTCCATGCTGGTTCAACAGGTTCAACAGGTAATGGGACTTCCTCCTCTTCTTCTTCCCCTTTTTCCTAGAAGAGAACGCAAGAAATTCACTTCTCATCCTGTGGGCATTAGGGGAGTAACTAAGGTGATGGTTTTGTGTCCTAAAACCTCCTTATCTGGGTTGAAAATGGCAACACCTTTTAAAGTAATTTTTACAGGTGGAGGAACTCCAGCAGCCACAAATCTTGGACAAGAACTACATTTTGAACCTTGATGAAGACAGCTGACCATTACCAATGATTTAGTTTGCCTTCTTTAAGGCAAAATTTTGTCCCTCCCTTAAACAGAATGGCTGGGAGGAGCGTATCAACTACGGTTCCTCTTCAGTGCCTGCAAAGGAGACCTGATGCTCTGTCTGGTAGAGGCTGCCCTGTCTGTCTCACACAGGAACAGAAACAAAAACAGATGTTTCTGCCTCAATCTTTGCCCTCTGAAAGGATCTAGGAAGGAATAAAGTGCTGCACAAAGCTTATGGGTTTGAAATTCGAAGAGATTTTTTTTAAATTCAAAAAAAATCATGCTTGATTTTTTCCAAATATGAAAAGTCTTATAATGGAACCATTATCTGTATTCCTATCTAATTTATTTGATCTTTTTTTTAAATGCACTTTGTTCTGCAACTACTTTAACTAAAGCCAAGGGGCAAAGTTTGATCTTCCTTTAGTGGCAGCATTGTCCCTTGCTTTACACATCTAATCCAATAATTCCCAACTGAATTGAGAATACCACATACACATTATTTTGGATACTCCTGTGAATCTGATGCTTAATTTGGGGATCTCTTGCTTTTAGCCAAAGAAGGCAAACTCTAAGATAAAATGGGGCATATTACCTTGAAACCAAAACAGTAATATTGATAAATTTTTTATTTTTATAGCTATTTTGCACCATATTAATCAAAAATCTTTCAAAACATTCATGCACGAAAGAGGAGGAAAAACAGGCCCTGAACCCAGCTGCTCCCTACAATTATCAGAAACTGTGGATATCAAGCTCCTGACAGGACCAGGACAACAATATTTCCAAAACATGAGTCTGCTGGAAATTACAATTTGTATGCATAGCACCAAGCAGCTCAGAAATACAAGGAGAAATATTTTCCCGTTTCCTCGTTTTCAGAACAAAGTGTAATACAGGCTAAATGTACAGACAGATACATCCACATTCTTCTGTGGTTTGAGCCTTCAAATGTTTTGGGAATGTCCTGATTCTCCTAAACTTTGAGAAGAAATGATTCATGTCTGCAAGATCACACCTTGTACTTGTCAAAGCTTCGACAGTAGGGAAGGTAAAGAAAAAAAGCAAAATGAAAACCTCAGTCCTTAAGAATGCACAAGTTTCCACCCTTCTTTGGCTGGTAATACCTACTTCAACATCAGTGTCTACAGGGCATTTTATAGGTTACTCAACAACAGATCTGATTAACTGAGTTCTCTGATATTCAGAGAGTATCAGAGAAACATTAATTTGAGGCAGTGTCTCTTTTACCTGCTCCAATTTTATGTATTCACCATGCTGCTCACATCCAAAATCAAAGACATATTTGCCACGACCTAAAGGCTGCATAAAGATACAAAAACGTCAGCAGAAACTAAACAGTTCAGTCTAGGCACAGAAATGTGAAATATCCTTTACTACAAAATCCACACAATAATCAACAGCACTATAGCTTGAAAGCAAAGTTGCAGAGAAACTTGGCATTGTGTCCTACAGATTAATTCAGTTTCATGTGTTACACTTATGGCACAAGAAATAATACAGATCAGGAGCTTAGTTCCTTATTTTAAGTGGAAACAGATCATATTAAGGCAATTGCCTGCAAAGTGTTCACGTGAATAGATAGTTCTGCCGCACACTTACCCTTCCATTGAAAAACCTGCCCAAAAATCTATGGTTTAGGTGGATAATTTCACCTGGTCCTTCCTGGACTCCGTTTGCCCAACGACCAACATACTTAGATCCTGAGTCTTTATAGACATATATACCTTGTCCATGCCTATGGAGAAAATCATAATTTTGCTTTATATCACTGGAATACTAAGAATTAAGGATTGCTATTGTATTTAAGGTATGAAGTTGTTATTTTTAAGGCATTAAAACTGTATTAATTAAGCAGCTGAAATTACTCAAGGTGGACTAAATTGCAAGGTCACCCCTGGACTTGATTTGCTGCAGTCAGACATGCTTTGAAAAGCATCTTTGCTTTTTAGTGCCATTGGGTGACTTGAAGAGCATGGAGAATGAAATTCTAAGAATGAAACAAACCTCTTGTGGTTAAACCACTCTCCAGTGTAGGTGTCTCCATTTGCATACACGTATTCTCCGTGGCCCTGTCTCTGGTCATCCACCCAGTCTCCTTTGATGACAAAAGGATGCAAACAGTGTGAGATGTGGTTTATTTCATGGTGTGATACAGTGGTCTCCACTATCACTCCCCATTATCATCATGAACACAGGAGGCCATGTAACAACCCGGCCCTACGTTTAAACTGGGTAATGTGGTACAATTGCAATAGACAATGTGACATTTCCACACAAATTTAAAGGGTAACTACTTTAATTTGACTCATTTGCTGAGGTTGTCCTGTCAGACAGGGGGCACATACACTCAGAAGGATGCTAGACTGTGTGCCTTAATTATTCTTCTATTCAAACTTAAAAGAAATATTCCAAAAAAAAGAATATAATATTTTGTAAGGATGGACCTAATAAAGTCCTAAAATAATTTATACTGAACACATCTGTGGTTCAAATTATCATCCAGGAATAAGGAACAATGCTCTCTTCTACAAGGATTGCACTTATTTGCAAAAGATACTTAATATTTCTTGGGACTTGGAACACCCCACTTCAAAGGAGGATATGACAAGAATAAAGCACTAATAAATATCATACTTCTCACAATAATATATCCTAAATCCCCATAAATAAACTCCAAACTTCTCAAAGCCATTACTAAAGAAGGAATGAAAGGAAAACATCTTGTAGCAAATGCATCACCTTAAAGTAAGACATTCTCCAATTCACTATCTCTATGCATTTAGGGGAAGAGGGGTGAATATGTCCTTGTAGTAACAGAAATCCCTGAAAACGTGCTCAGTGTTTTACCTGAATATTTTGATCCATCTGGATAAAAAAAGATACCCTTGCCATGCTTTTTGTTTTGAAGGTAGTTTCCAGTGTAGAGAGCACCGCTCTTAAACCTGTAGGTCCCCTGGAACACATTTGGCACAGACAAAAAGACACTTGTCAGCTCTCGCCCTTGTCCCAGGCCGGTGCCCAAACTCACAGCCCGGGGGGAACGCAACCACAGCCGGTGTCCGTGTCTTACTCGCCCGCTCCTCAAACCACGCTCGTATTCCCCGTCGTACGTGTCCCCGTTGGGCAGCCGAGCTTTTCCATAGCCGTGCCGCTCCCCTTCGGCATTGCGATCGCCGTCGTATTCCTGCGAGAGGGAACAGTGAGAGGGAAAGGGGCGTGTGAGGGAAGCCGCTCCAGCCCGGCTCAGCCCGGCTCAGCCCGGCGCCGCTCCCCTCTTTGCCGCCGCTTGTTCCCTGTCCCGCAGCCCCGGCCCGCGGCGCTGGAGCCGCTCCCGCCCGCTTTCCCCACGGCCCCATCCCCGTCCCCGCGGACCCCCACGCCGGCCTCGCCCTCCTCGGCCTCGTCCTGCTCCTCGGAGCCCAGCTCCGACATGGCCGCGAGTCGCCGTCGCCGTGACAACCCGAGCCGCCCGCGGCGCCGAGCGCGGCCGGGCCGCCCCTCACGGCGGGGCCGCGCCTGGAGAGCCCCGGAGCCCGGCCCAGGGAGTGGGTCTAGTCTAGGGAAAAAAAAAAAACCAAACCACTGCGAGGAGATCTCATCCATACACATAAATATCCCCAAAGGGATGATGCCAGGCTCTTCTCGGTGGTGCCCCGCATCAGCGCGAGGAGCAATGGCCATTGACTAAAACACAACAAGTTCCTCCTCAACAGGAGGAAGAACATGAGGAGCGGTCTTATTAAGCAGGAAATTCTCTGTACTCTGGCTTTTTTCCAAGCCCCTCCACTCAATCGGCCTCGGCAGTGACTTACGTAACTCCAGTGTCCAACTTCAGCCACCTCAGTCAGTCAAGAGCCTCCCTTACTAATATAATTACAGATAAATCACTGCACCCATGGAAGAGAAGGGCTCTCCTTCCTCAAAAGACCAAGGAGAATGAAAGGGAGAAGCTCATGAGGAAAAGGAGAGAGCAGAGTACATCAAAGCCTCCCCCCCAGTCCGTATTAACCAGCAATAATACCCCGAATGGAAAACATTTGATTTGTATTTTATGTAGCATTTTCTGTGTTTTATTTGCGAGCTGCAGTATTCAAAACTAACCACTCTTTAAAGAGATTTGATTTGCCTCAATGCAAGGTAGCTCTTTCTGACCCTTTGCAGAGGAAACGCCCTGAAACTCTGCCCTGGCGAAGGCAAGGAATGACAACTGCATTCCAGCTCCTGCCTGCCTCCTGCAGATGTTGAGGACAGGTTGTCTTGCTGAACGCAAGTTGTATTTCACTCCTCTGCAAAGCAGCAGCTTCACAGAGCTTGCAGGAGCTTGGCAGGACTCGGGGCCTGCCAGTGATACAGGAGTCAGGCAAAACACCTCACTGTCCCTTTGCACAGTAATTTAATGGCTGAGGTTTCCCAAGAGGAGCCAGGCGAGGGTATGTGTGGTGAAAAGCAGCGAAGGCATCCAGGCACCGGGCAGAGGAGGTGACATTTCCGAGGCAGGCAGCAAAAGGAGTGGCAAGTGGTTGGAAAACAGGTGGAGGTCACCTTATACCCTCAGTCAAAGCTTTACCACACAAACCAGAAGAAAAACAGGGTCATCTCTATACAAAGACACACCATACTCAGGTAAGTTTCTTTATTTTCATAGGTAGGACTCAAAATAGCCAGTATTTGCATAATAAATAAATAGCAATAAAGTCTCACTTCTGTTGCACATGTGTCTTTTTGTTTTCAGCTGGGAAAAGATGAAAAAGAAAGAGACTATTGCTAAATACCTCCGTGTTCATAGGAACCATGTGGTCTCCCATGTTAACACTCAGTCACTAATATGAGAGCACTTTCCCTTTGAAACAGGTAAGAACACTGAAATTAAACTTTGTCAACTGGCAGGGCATTAAGAAGCCCTACATTTATTAACTCAAAACTGTGTGGTTATTTCTCCTTCCTGCACATTCCTAGCACTTGACTAGGGAAGCATAATTTGCATGAAGTTGCACTGTTAATAAGCAGCTGCAGAATGCGCAAATTAGTGCTCTGACTGCTCATATCCTGCAGAACTGACATGAGTGCACACTATCTGAAGCATAATCTGTGCAGTTCCTTCTTTCTTACTCTTCATGACACCTCTGTTTCTTCTTGCACCTAAGCTTGGCTAAATTCTTTTCTCTACAATGAGGCTATGTCTCCAAGTATAAAACTGGTCACTTGGTCTGTGAGTGGCATATTTATTCTAAGCAGACACTGAGGCTCAGGGCTATAAGGGAAAATATGTTCGGAATGCATGTGGAGGTGCTCCCTGTTAAACTCAATGATAAAAATAACCAGACATGTCTTATGGCCTCGAAGGTGACGTAGCCCAGGGGACAGCTGTGACACAAACAGGAGGCAGTGACAAGCCACCAGAGTCACTCCCCTGGACGGTCACTAATAATGATCATTACCTGCTTTTGCTTATTGTTTCAGAGCTCCGAAGGAGGAAAAGGGCCTGAAGGAGCAATAGCTCAGTTTTCCTGGGAAACAGCCAAGGACTATTTCTTTATAAAAGTAAAGCTGCTCAGAACCCAGAAGTGGCAGACAGCACAAATGCCTGTATGTCAGGATCACATAATCTTACTTAAATGAGGGAGGCATCATTTAAAGTTTTCTAGAAACTGCCTTGAGAGGAAGGAAAATACAGCTTATAAAGACACATATAATAATTATCAGGAAGGATTTATTTTGTAGTTTCTGGTCTTCCAGTTGCATTTGGATGTGTTGGAATGTCACATTAAAGTTAAGCTTCAAGTATGTGACTACTGAAAGGAGCGCTGCTATCATCCTAACTTTCCTGTTTTTTCCTTTTTTGTCAAAGGACCAACAGAATATTGTAAATATTCTTAAGGTCCTGCTGAGCTTGTATATAAATTTCATTTGTCCAAAGTCCTGAGAGGGTTTGTACTGGAAAGACAGTGACATAGGGAAGTTGGGCACAAGACCCCATAAGGTGCCTCCTGTGGGAAAGGACAGCCCTGGATGTTCTTTTTATCCTGCCTTGCAGGTCCTCGCTCTCAATTGAACCAAAGAGCTCCTCTGCAGGGAGGAATGGCCAAGAAGTACTTTTAAGGCCTGTTATGCTCGTGGTTCTCCTTGGACTTTACCCTCTGTTAGGAGGGGGGAGACTTTTGGCAGTGCAGATATTTTGCAGGGAAAGCACTGCTGTGCCAGGCCTGGGCTCGAGGCTCCTTCCAGCACTGGCCAAGCTTTGAAAACACACAGTGCACAGTGAACATTAGAAATGACAGGACTGTCTGGTCACCTCTACATTGCAATCAGTGCCTCTTTCAAAGGGGTGACAGAAATACAGCAGGGTGCACACATGACCTCTGATGTGGTGAAGGCAGTGTGCTGCTTCATTCACACTTGGTGCACTTAGGAATTCCTGCCCCCAGGAGCTGGCTGCTCTCTGCCCCTGTCCTACCATGCATCCTTCTTCCAGGGACAAGGCCCCTGGGAACCAGCTTTTCTCCACTCACCCTGCAATGTGACTCTAGGGAGCCACTTTTCAAATTCTGCCATCAAAATTAATAGGAAGAGTGGAGATAATTTGCCTGATTGACAGGTCGGTTTCCTCACTTCACATATTATTCAATCATTACTGACAGAGCTGGTTACTCTGTGAGGGCCAGTCCTTGGCACTCAAGTCATCTTGAGTTTAGCTCTGGGCTAGATTAGAGATGCAAATGAGCTTTGCTTATGGCAGGGCAGACTTGGGCAGCATTATGTCTTTTGACAGAACAGAAATCTGTAGGTAAATATTTTGCCATCTCTTTCTCTTTATAACAGCTAAAACCACAGTCTAGAGCAATGTAATTCATGGTCAGTACCAGATACTTGCAAAGTGTAAACAGGAGCTGTCAGGAAAATCTTAATGAAGTCAGCTTTCTTCCTCCTGAAACTTAAATATAAACCAGGTTGTTTTCATCAGCCTTTTGGAGGAAAACTGTGGGATAAGAGAATTAAAATAATATCTGAAGGGCAGTCCTTGGGAACACATATTCCAGGTCTTTTTAATATTCTGCAATAAATACTATCAGACACACTTAAAATATTTTCTTGGATTAAGGGAGAAAACAGTGGACAAAGTGGAATTTACTGCCACTAACTTCCAGGTAGTGTGTTTTTTCCCTCCAGTTCAGAATTAAGCAAAATTCTGAAATGTCAAAACCCTTTGCAAAACGGGAACTTCTCTCTACACAGCTCTTTTTAAAGGTTTTTACAGGCAAAATGAAATATGCTTACTCTGTATAAAGATAGCCTCTTTTTGTGCTAATAACCAAGCCAGAAAAACAAGTAAATGACCTTTCAAGCCACTCAGTTTACAACTGCCTCCTCCAAGTACAGTTAACCTTGGGATATCCTGAGGGCAGGATCATTCAAAAAGCAAAGGTGGTGTCAAAGCCATTCTTGAAATATGGATAAAACTTTTTGATATCTTGGCGAAATAAGACCTTTCAGTTTCCTCCTACAGAATATCCAAGGGAAAGTGTTCTGCTGTATTTATATCCTGCCTCCCAATTCTCTGACCTCGCTGTTTGAAGGACACACTGCATTCCATTCTTCAGACATTTGGTAAAACTGTCAAGTTTTTCCTTTTACCTAAGGGGTTTCCCCTTCCACTAAAGTGCAATAGGGACATATACAGGTCACTTTGATTCCATTTAGGAAATTGTTGCTAATGTCTTTTCTCAAGACTTCTGTGACAGTCAGCATCACTACTGCCTGCAAAAATGCCTACAGTTGGCATTCATGAGACAAAAAAATATCTTATGGTCAGTACAAGAATAAAGCAGCATTAATATTACATTTTTCTCTACTTTTCTCGGTAAGTTGTTTCATTAAATAACCAACCTGTTATTCTTTCGTCTATACCACCTGAACTCCTAACCTGGTAATTCAGAATGAATTCAACAGAGGATAATGAAATGATTGACATAGATGGGGCTACTTTGGTGCCTCCTCATTCCTGTCAGCTCAAATACCTTTGTACTTCATCTCTTTATTCCTGGCTTGCAAGAAAATTGCTTTACTGTAAGCTCTACGTATCGTTTCACAGATTCCAATGACAGCTTGGTTGTATTTTGGGTTTGTTTCTGTTTTAGCTGTTTGTTTGTATGCTTGTTTTTGAATTCTGCATTCTGAGAACATTCTTTTCATTTTTCTTTGTCTCTCTATTTTATTTTGGGTTTCTAACCAAGGAACCTCCATCGTCACTACAGGGGCCACTGATCCCAGAAGCCAGAGGTCATGTGAAGCAGGTCTGCCTAGGGCTCCCTCCAGCAGATCCTACCCCAACAGACACCATTGCTGCTATAACCACTTCTTTTCCAGATCTTTCCTTAGACAGCATGAGGTGATTTAACAGTCACACTCTCCAGCCCTCTGGAAAGCCTTGGGGAGAGTCAGAGCAGCACACTGTCAGCACCACTGACCTCATTTTTCTGAATGGAACCGGAGACAGAAAGGCAGCTCACAGGGTTCAAATAAATGCCATCATTCCTAAATGCCTCCTGCAGTCAGAGCAATATCTATCTTTATGTAGGCAGCCTGGAGGCAATTTTAATGCCCCTCCCTCTCCATGTTCCGCATGCTACATGATTTTTTTCCTTCATAAGTAGCCTTTAGTACTCAGACACAGTCTTGCTGTGGAAAAGCCTGTGCTGGCCCAGTGCTCTTGTCCACTGGTCTCTCTTCCTAAAGCTTCTGCCTGGTGATTCTCATTGGAATTCTGTCAAGCTGCATGCAGTGACAGTACCAGTCTGGAAACTCCGGAGTCATATTAGTGTGGCACTGTGCCAGCACTAAAATTTCTCATAACAGGCAGGACACTGTGCTAAATCAGCCAGAGAGCTTCCAGCACAGCTGGATTACCTCCAGCCCCTCTCAAGTGTGGCCACAGCAGGGCTATACCCATCTACACACAGGCATAGCCTTTTCTTGGCTCTTTTGGATATTTTTACTTTTTTTCTGTCTGCCAAAGCTGGATGACAGGTTATATTTGGATCGCACCCAGTGCTGATGTGAATTGCTTATACAGTATCCCAGCTGCTCTGCTGGGAAAACAAAGCATGTAAAACTAATAAAGGCAACTAAAAGCAATGATTACGTCAGTCCTAGGAATCCTGCTACTTGTGGGGAATAAAGTCTAAGTAAATATTGATTTTTTTATAGTAAGATACTATTTAACAACCCATTATTATGTAAATAAGGTCTGAGTTTCTCTGATCCCCTAGGACAAAGAGACTGCTCTGGGGCCAAACAGATTAGCCTTTTCCATCTGTGCAATTATGAATCATAAAAGATACTTGTGCAATTTACTGGAAAGGAAATAAATATATGAATCAGCTAAAGGGTGCAATAGTCTGCATCCAGACCTCTGCTCAGCCAGTATCACCTATTCAGCAAGGAAAGGCTATGCTGACACCCACTGACTGCAAAGTGCTTTGCCACATCAGGTCTTGGGGAGTTAAAGCACCACTCGTGGAAGTAAAATTTAACTGTTGACCAGGAAATTAGATTATCTCCTCTGAGAGAAGCACCATCAGAAGCATCTATCAGCACCTGCCAGCTCATACATCTTCACTTCTGTTTGGTTTTGCAGACAAGAGCTCATACTTTTCTGTTTCCTCTCATATGAACGTTGCCAGAGGCTTGAAAAGCCAAACTGCTGCCACACTTTGTACCTAATTTACTGGACTTCATTTGTGTTTCCTTCTGGAAAGTAACTGGCAAAGTGTCCTTTCTGGGGTTTATTCTGTGGGGCTCTAGATTACACACGTTATTTTAAAACCTGTGCTTCTGTTTTTTTATCCACGTAATTTTGGCTGTAGATCTCCTTTTATCTCTGCCTGACCTCCGGCCCTCCTCTGATGCTCTGTACCAGCAGGCTGTTGTGCACCAGCAGCACCAGCTCCCGCTGCTCCCTCTCTCTGTATTCCTACTTATTTGATGGCTTCTGGCAATTGTAGCTGCTGGGGACCCACACTGGCGTAGCAGAGAGAGCAGCTGTGCCAAGTGTGGCAGCCAGCAGGTTTCAGTGATGCTAAAGGAATGGATTGCAGGCAACCTTTATTTGAATGGGAGATGCAGTTTCTAATTTTAACTATGAAAAATATCAGGGTTTCTGTGGCTGTTTGGCTCATGCTTTTTGCAAACTGCTTCTAACTGAGAATAGAAGATATTCAAGCAAGGTTACATTCTTTCAGGAATTTAAAAAGGGCCAAGGCGACAGCAATTTAAAAAATATGAGGATTCCACATGCTGAAGAATAGTTGTGATAATCTGAGATGGCCAGCCCGTGTATACAAATGCACTGTGATGGGTCTGACCTTTTCTGCTGCAAAGAGACAACTCTTCATTTTTGTGTGTGTGAATCAGAATAAACGATGTCTGTGCCTTACGGTGCAAAAGTGCAGCCACATGACTCATGCAAATCACTCTTCTTGGAGGAGCAACCCCTGACTAGTTTTGTCTCTGCTAAATGGTCGTTACAGCAAAAATGACAAATATAATTTGTCACTACACAGACGCTCTGGCTGCAACTACCCCATCTATATTGGATTTTAGCGTGTGCTTTTCCACCCCAGAGAACAGTTGACCTGTCATTAAGGCAAGGACACTTCCATGATAGGCCTGCTCAGAAAAAAATAAAGCAGCTTGAAGTATTTCCTTCTCCAGTTCATGCACTATCATACAGGGGACAGTAGATGTGGAGAGCTAAAGCAGCCCTAGGACATGCCTGTTTATCTTCATCAAGTGTTCAGTCTGCTAATCTTACTTATTGTCCATTTTGGACAATAGGCTGAGCTGGTGAGGGTTTGGGGCAGATGATTTTTGTTTTAGATTGGAGTGGGATTGTATTGTTAAAAAAGCAACCACACACTGTCCTGTGAATGAAACTGTGGTTTGTTTTATACTGCAGGATGGTTTGGTAAAAGCTAATTTGAGACCTTTTGATGCCTAGTCGAGGCTTTTGCTTTTATCTGAGAAACAAAACCATCTCCTCAGAGGATAAGCCTGATGATAATCAAGAGCACTGCACTGGCTTTCCAAGTAGGAAATTTGTAGCGCTTGGGGAGATGATGTGAAGACTCTTTTTTTTTTTTTAACCTCTAATTCACTGCTTACAAATCTCAGCTAGAAGGCTGGAATTAACATCTGCCACCAGCAATCTTTAAAGCAGCGGGTTGTGCAGCATCAACCTGCATCTGCAGTGGGTGCAACTCTGGGACCCTGGTTATGCAAACGTTAAAATAAGGGTGAAGGGCTCATTTACTGACTCAGGAAGTGAAGGAAAGATGCCACTGTGATTGTGGAGCAAAGCCGAGCATGTGTCTAAGTGTTTGACATGTGGGGCCTAAGTAACATCACACTGGGAGTCAAAAAGTTTCTTTTATTGGTATTTCCAGCACAGGGCAAGAGGAGAGGGAAAAGACAGAACAAAATTGAACACTTTAGTGAGTGCCTTAGGCAGGTCGCTTGTGCCAGGCAGGTGGTACTTCACAGGGGACAAACAGTTATACAGATAAATTTAAACCTGCATGAGGTAACTGTTAGCAGCTATTCAGTCTTGGGTGAAATAAACAGCACTGGGGAGGTGGTCATGATGAAGAAATGCACCAGCAGCTGGAAGCGTGCATTAATATAAATGAGCTTTGAAATATATATTGTTGCTGAAATGCACTGTGTATATTATTCCTTTTTTAAAGAAGCACCACCGAATTTTTGTTTCGGATTTCCGGTGACCTGGTGTGTGATTTGTTAACATTTGCCGTTTGGCACCAGAAACACATTCGTGTTATATCTGGTAGGCGACTGACAGCGCTGCAGTGAAGCCCCTGTGCACACCTGCCCAAGCCAGGGGGCTGCCTGCCTGGGGATCCTACTGGTGATGCCAGAGGGGTCAGGACACCACTCTGGAGCACCCGGAGTGGCAGAGGCTGCCGGGGTTACAGGTGGGTATGGTGGGCACAAGGGAGCAGCTTTTCCCTGCCCAGCAGGCTGGGGGTGAGCTAGGGCCTCGTAGGAGGCCAGGGGCAGCAGTTCACAGAATGGGTCAGGTTGGAAGGGACCACAGTGGGTCATGTGGTCCAACCTCCCCGCTCCAGCGCTGTCATCCCAGAGCACACAGCACAGGATTATATCCAGACGGTTCTGGAATATCCCCAGTGAGGGAGACTCCCCACCCTTTCTGGGCAAACTGTTCCCGTGCTTGGTCACTGCACAAGAAAGTTCTTCCTCACATTCAGGTGGAACTTCCTGGGCATCACTTTGTGCCCCTTGCCTCTAGTGCTGTTGCCTGGCATCACCAAGAGCCGGATCCATCCTCTTAGCACGCTCCCTTTAGGTATTTATACACATTGAGGAGGTTCTCCTCTCAGCTGTCTCTGCTCCAGGATGAACAGGCCCAGCTCCCTCAGCCTTTATTCATAAGAGAGATGCACCAGTCCCTTCATCATCTTCGCGCCTTCCTCTGAACCCACTCCAGGAGCTCCATGTCTGAGGAGCCCAGAACTGTACGAGGCACCCCACATGCGCCTCGCCAAGGCTGAGCAATGGGTCAGCACGACCCGCTCGGAGCTGCTATTCCTCCTGCAAAGGGTTCCCCCCGCAGGCTCCTCCTTCTCCTCCTCCTCCTCGGTGCGGCGGGGAGGAGGGGCCGAGCCCGGCCGGTCCCGCCGCGCAGCTCTGGCGGCGGGCGGCGATCCGCAGCCGTGCCCGGCCCGGCACAGCCCGGCTCGGCTCGGCTCGGCTCGGCAGGAGACGGGGACTCGGGGAGCTGCCGCTGGCCGGGACCAGCAGCCCCGGGTAGGCTGGGCGGGCGGGGTTGGCCGTGCACCTGCCGTGCCCGCGGCGGGGGCGGCTCCAGAGCCGCGGGGCCGCTCGGGAGCGGCGGCACCGGGCGGGGGTGCCCGGGGAGCGCTGCGGGACCGGGTGGGTGTGCCGGGCCCTGCATCTCCGTCCCTGTGCGCTGCCCAGACCTGCCCGTGGGTTGGGCTCGGCTCCCGCTGTTGGAGCTGCCCTTGGCCCCCGGGGCGGCTCCGGGGGTGGTCGGTCCTGCGGGTGCCGGCGCTGTGCCCCTCTGTGGCTAAGCCAGGATGAACCGTGGGTTTTGGTTTGTCGGGTTGTTTTTTTCTGTTTAAAATAGAAGGATCGTGGGCATTTAATGCCCCAGGGTGGAGGGTTTGGCAGGTTCTGGCTCAGGTGCAGAGCTGCTCGGTGTCAAGCACGACGGGCGTTTGACCTGCGGGAGTGCGAGCGAAGGCGTTTTGAGCCCTTGGGGACACCCCGGGGAGGGTTTGGTTACCCGCTGTTTGCAGACACTGAATTAATCTCTGCCCTCTGGGGAGCTGTGCGTGGCCAGGCACGACCTTCCCTCTGCCTCTCCAGCACAGCTGATCCCGGGTTTACCGTGTTTGCAGAGGGAAAGGCCGGTCACCGATGACTCTCTTCCCGAAACAGGGAGGAATGCTTCGCCCTGTGGGAAGCCGGAAGGAGCAATACCGATTTTGGAAGGTAAATATGGTTTCAAACTGAGTACGAGAATATTGCTCTAAACGTTTCAGTACAGCAAGGAGGAAGTGAAGTGTTTGTTTTGCTGTCGGCTGAAATAGTTGCAGAAAATGAAAGAACATAAAGCCGGTTTCAGTGATTAAATTCGAGTTTGTCCTTGAGCTTCATTAGTAAACCAGGAGCACAAAGGGATGTATTGGCAAACTAACAGTTATGTGTTGTAGCCTATTAATGTAATTTTTGAAGTATAGCTTGGCTTTTAAAATCTAGTTTTATCTGTGGCAGGACGTGATCTTTATAACCTGTTTTCACAAGCTTTACTGCCGCAAATTCCTTTACTTTTGTGGAGGACGTTTTATTTCTTTATTAAAAAGCACATGAACGTCAGAGGAACTTAAGGATACGTGGAGACAGAGATAAGTTGTTGACAAGTAAATGAGAAGTCAGTTCTTTCTGCCTGCAGTACATAAAATGGAATCAACCTGTGTCAAATAGAGTTAGGGTGCAGTTCTCTCTGTGCTGCCGATAGTCCAGTCACCTTTGCTGGGAAATTACGGGGATCCTTGTGAAGGGATTTACTCTTGGGAGGTGGTGTGAGTACCATCTGTGCAGCTGGTGCACGGATGTGCAACCTTGTGTGACCACTTAGTACTGAAACCTTTTGTAAGATCTGAGAAGTCCTTTCCTGCTAAAGCTGTTAAATAGTAGCTTGTTAAACAATTCCTTTGCGAAGATGGCAATTGCCTTGTCCCATTATATTTTAAAAGAACCATTTAAGGAGGTGTTTGACCTCGGGTTTTTGTTCTTTGCTGGCTTCTCAGTTTTTTTCCCAGTAGATGTTCTCTCACCTTGCTTAGTGTGGTCAGTTAAATAATAGTTTTGGTGTTTGGGGATACCTGTGAGAGAGGAGAAATGGGGGTTTGGGATCACCCTGAAATAGATTTGTTGCTCCTGGAAATAAAATGCCCTCCAGCTCGGGGCTGCTTGTGCCAACCTATTTTTCTTCTTACCTTTCTTCTCCTATTGGACCTATCAACCAAACAGAGATTACTGACAAGTTTTTGTTTTGAAATTGAGTTTATCTGACCTAACCAACCACCTGTGTTTGTAGGGGGCAATCCCACCTTTAGTCCCTGCCTATGTGCTCCTGCTGCGTTGGATTAATCCTAACTAGCAGTTTTATGATCACAGAATGAGTTAATATTCTCTGTTGGATCAGCTGCATTTCGGGGCAGGTTTTCTGATGGATCAGCCATCTGACCCATGGCTGTACAACTGCAAGGTCTGGCACAGAGGGAAGCAGGGACCTGCATCGAGGAGGGGATAGGGTTGCACTTTCCCTAACCTCTGCAACTCCAAAGAGGAGGTAGGAAACCCGTGTTGGGTGGGAATGATTACGGGGTTTAATTAATTGCACCACTGATTCAGGGCTGGGGAGGTGTGTGTGGGGGTGAAACATGCCAAACGGGATTAGCAAGTGAGTTCGCTTCCAGGGGAGGGAGGTGTCAAACTGAACCAGGATACTGGAAAAAATCAAACTATGACAAAAATGTGTTAGTGTAAAGGAGCAGACCCTTGATATTTCGGTGGGATACTCTGTTATGTAAAGAGGTGGGTTTTCCTCCATTCCTGGGGAGAAAGTCAGTGTGGGTAATGAAGCTTTCAGGTTGCCAGCTTGGACACAGCAAATCGTGTTTGGTGTTGTCATTCATCTGGCTGAGGATTAGTTTTGATTTCTGTAATAAGATGGGGCAATGAAGATGAGAGAAGAGAGGCTTACACCTGTGGCAGCTTCTAAAACTCTCATGTTAAGACCAACCCTTGGTCTTGGGCAAGTGTGTTTTCTTGCTTGGCAGGTGTGTTTTCTTTTGTTTACCAGGAGAGATGATCCTGTTCCTACCAGCTTCCCATCAGTGGCTTTTGCTGGCATTAAACCCACTAGCAGGGCTACCAGGAGGGTGGTAGGGTTTATGCTGCAGGCCCTGGTGTGTTAACTTGGCATCCTGCTGGGGTGGCTCTGCTGTGAGCTTACAGGGAGGGTTTTCATGCCTGAGTTGCAGTCACACCTTTTGCCTACAATGCCTTTTGTCATCTTGGCTGACTTGCTGCCAGCTAACAGTGCAGCTGCTCCCTGGTGCAGTACCTGCAGTAAAGATATTGTATAGGGATTTTTTTCCTGTTGAGGGACTTCAGCCCATGTTTGAGGAGAAACTCTGAAACTTTAAGCCAAACTGAATTGATGCTGCCACTCTCCTGCCTCTTCCCTGCCTGTTATGGACATGTGAGATCCTGCCTTCTCCCTTGTGCTGGTGCCGGGAGCTCAGGTGGTGAAAAAAACTGTTTATTTTCTTTTCCAAGTCTTCTTATGATGTGGTGCTTTGTGCAGCACTGCCGCTGGGACAGGGAAATGGGGTGGGAGAGGCAGTGCCGGTCAAGTCTTGCTGGCAGCATTGTTCAGCAGCACCCACTCTCAAGCTGGAGGAGTCTCTATTCCAGGCTGGAAACACTACAGCCATTTTTGAGCTAATTGCAAGCTCATGAATGTTTCTGATGTACTTAAACAGATCTTTGTGAGCTGGGGAATTGTCTACTTGTAGCCATTCTGGGACAAAAGCAGAGTGTTTTTGATGTCAGCTGGCTTTGGATCAAGCTCTGAGTGCATCTTTCCTTTGTGTCTCCGCTGCTTTGTACTACACCGAGTTCTCAAAATGCATTATAAATGATAAAATTCCGAAAAGGCTGCATTTTATATCAGCTTAAAATTCTCCATTACATTTTTGATGGCTGGAAGGTTAGTTATGGTAATTACTTGCCTCTGAAGTAGATAATTGCTGATTCAAATGTTATGGTTAGAAAATATTACAGAACCTCGATCAGACTGTTTACTTATCAGCTTCTCTTATCTGAAGATCAGCAGTTAACAAAGGCGGAGTGAAGAATTTGCCACGTGGAGACTGAAGGTGTATGAGAATAAAAACCTACAGAGGAGATCAGCTCAGCTGCAGATATTCCACTTTTTTTTTTACCTGCCATCCCACGGGCTTCAAGGGGATCTTTGTTACACGTTCAGAAGAAAACACTGTCACAAGTACATAGTTGTGTCACCTGCAGTTTGGTGCCAGCTGTAGTGTAGATGGCTCAGCTTCCTCCTGGGATTCGTTTCATCACTTCATTTTCACGAGATCAGTGGTAAGTCTTGAAGTATGGTGTGATCTTGGTGGACAGTGTGAGTTTGTATCTGGGAAGATCACACTCCTCTATTATTTGCTTTTTTGTTGCTTAATATATACAGGAAGAAAATATAGCCAGTTGTTTAATCACTATTGATGACATTTAAAAAGTAAGATGCTTTGTTGGGAAACGCAAACAAACCCTTACTAGCCTTTTGCCCTTTTCTTTGCAAGGTATTTAAAGGATAAATTTCAAATTTTTATTTTCAAGCTCTTAGGTAGGAAGAGTGGCTCAAGGTAAGCTGTCTTTTCTTAACCAGAAGTGTATTTTCTCCCCAGTAATTTGATGTTTAATGTAGACTTGTGCAATTGCAGTCTTAGTTCTTGCTACTATAATATTAAAAAAACAAACCCAGAAATAAACAAAAACAAATAAAACACACAAAACCAAAACAAACAAAAAGTTAAAAACCAACCAACCAAACAAAACCAAAAAAGCCACAGGGGGAAAAAAAAACAAACAAAAAAACCCCCAAAAAACCAAACCAAACAAACAAAAAACCAAACAAACAAAAAACCAAATCAAAACAAAACACAAAAAAAAAAAAAAACCACAAAAAAACACAACAACCTCCCCCCCCAACAAAATCGAAGCAAAATCAAACCCTCTTCGCTTCAAGAAAACTAATTCTGGAAGTTTTGTGACATCAGTTCCTGTGCTTTCTGAGATGGAATATTGACTCAATTGTGTGTGAATAACAAAAAAAAATAACAAATGAAAGACCAAGCACTTTCCATTTGAGCAATTCTATCATGTGTTTTCTCTAGTCTAGCAGCAGGAACAAAGTAATTTCAGTTTTAGCCTTTGAGAGGATGTTTTCAGTTGTTAGGGTGAGTAATTCAGCTTGTGGGATAACTCTTGTTAGTGTCTCTGTGAATATACCAGAACTGTAAAACAAGGCCTTGGTTATATAAAAATTTGTAAGGCAAAAAAGTATTGAAAAAGGTTAATTAAAAATCAGGGACCATAGTAGGGGGGTGTGATATCAGATATTTGTATGTATATATGTACTTTTATTTACTGATGTTAATTTTAAGTTCAAGGCCAGAAGGAACCAGCAAATACACCTGGACTCTGTGTATTGTTAAAAGTACAATTCCACAAAGTGCCCTCCTTAAACAACTGAAACTGCAGTAGAGAATAGAATAGACCAGATTATTGTCTTTGTTTAATGCTTGTAGTGACAGGGAGTTTGGAATGCCCTTTTACTTCAGCTGAACTGTGTGCCAGTGAGGCACAAAGGAGGATTCCTTCCCAATCCCAAACCTGCTTAATTGTGTTCCTGTGCTCCAGTACATTCTGTCAGTCCCACCCTCCACCTCTGGAAACAGCTGATTTCTGTTGTTACAGAGGAATGCAAAAGAGAAGCAGCATCCCAAAAGCAGTAAGAAAACAAGGAAGTAATAACCCACAATATCCAAACTGCCAACTCAGAGAGCCATCACTTATGTCCTAATCATACCAGAAAACCCAGCGAGACACTGAGGTGTGAAATCTGATTATCAGTGTGTTTAATGTTGAACTGACATTTAATAGCCCCCAAAGAAAGGTTGCAAACAAGGCAAGATGTTTTTGTGTAACTTGGTGCCAAAAGGAAGTGTAATTTTCAAATACTTTTTAAATTTTATATTGTAGGTATAGAGCCTTCATTTTCTCTCTCACTTTCCTGCTGTATGCCAGCTTCCATTTATCAAGGAAACCTATTAGTATAGTTAAGGTAAGCAGGGTTCCGTCCTTGTTTAAACATCCTTCTGCTCCTCAAACACGGAAGTCATTGTCTTTTTTAGTACTTCCCGTTGTGAAAGGCAGTGTTAAACTTTAACTTGAAGTGGCTTCAAGATGAAAAACTGATAAAGCCAGTACACAGTGACATTTGCTTGATAAACCTCAGTGAGACTGTGCCTAGAATATTGCATTTCTGTCTGGTCTTTGGGATTAAAACTTGAAACAGCTATGCCTACATTTAATTCATGTGAATTAATCTAATAGTAGGTATTTGAGAGGTTTGCAGTGGTATTTTTGAGAAAAGTTGCTCACAACTGATGAGTTGAGCATGATAACATTCCCCTGGCATTTATAAGTGTTCCAAGTACTGTTGAACATCGTAGTCATAGTTGTCTGTACACTGGGGACTCTGCTTCTGGTGAAACTGGTGGCAAAATATTCCATAATTCAAGGTTTGTTAGTTTAATCTTCAGCCTGTAAAACTTGCCAAACTCAAATCAAATTCCCCAGTGCTGTCTTGTGTAAAACTGATGAGTAACAGTGGGCAAAGTACTTGATGTTGCTGCAGAATTTCAAAGCTGTTCACTATCAGAAACACCAGTTCACAATAGAATGTTTTTTCTGAGCATGTGATTAAGTATTTCATGTAATGGTGGCTTCTCTCACCAAAATGCCAAGCAATTAATAATGGCTAACAATGTTACTGATTTTGGTGGGTTTGACACAAGTTCTTGTCAGTCTGGATTTGTTAAATTTGTTGTTGCATGAGAATTAACACCCCAATTCACAAGTGATTTTTTTTTCCATTTTCAAATGCCCTTTCTGTTTCAGGGAGAGCTGCATAAGCATTGTGCTGCTTCACATGAAGTTGAACTTGACTCCTACAAAGAATATGCTACCCAGATTCAGCCTGTCAAAAAGCCATTTAATGCCTCTCAGTGTGGTTGGGAGCCATTTGGTAAGGGTTGGTTTCTTTGGTTTTCTATTTTTACCAGTAATGAGCTGATATTCATAATTAGATTGTTTGCTTCTTGCTATTTCTTCACATATGGTGGTATTGAGGAGATGTGCATTGAAGGAGTGTTTTGTTTTCCATGTTCTCATTGATTTCTCCAAATAAAATTGTGTCCTACCTTATGATGTCTCTCCTGCTCAAAGTCACTTCAACAGGTGACATTATTTTACTTGCTATAGCTGTGAGATGGTGTTAGTAGATCACTTTTCAGTCAGAAAATGGGGTTTGTCTTTAGCATGTCTGTTAAGGAAAAAAGGGTGAAGAATAAAATAAATCCTTTAAATTAATTTACTTGATGTTTATCAAAATTGGAACTTTTCAGAGTCCTTATCTGCCAGAAGGAATAGCTTTCTCTCCGTTTTAATGAAGAAAAATGGGAGCCTTCATTGCAGAATAGACTTGACAACTTAATAGTTTATGGATGTGGCCTTTCACTTAAATAGAAAATAAATATTTGCCTGTTGAACGATTACGTTTGAATTTAATTGTATTTGAATTTCAGGGAGACTTTGAATCATTCCTTAATGCTTTTATTGCTACCAGGAACATCAGTGAGGTAGAATAGTCTGTTCTGTCAGTGTGCCAGTCCACCCCAGTCTCTGTAGCCATCCATTCTAATTAGTCCTTAATTAGCAATTTAAAAAAAAAAAAAAAAGGTGCTACTCTGTTCGAAGATAATTAAAGATCTGAGCTCTGGGTTTTCTGTGGGAAAAATCCAGTGTATCAACTGCCTGCTGCAAGATCTGCTGAAATGATTTAGTCCCCTTGGATGGGATGCAGTTAAACTTGGTTGGTGTTTCTTGTCCCGGGACCGAGGGGGGCTGAGTTTGCGTGTCTGAAACACTGGTTGGTTTTTCTAATGGAGATTTCTGAGCTCGAAGTCATTGGCAGTTGTGGCTCCTTGCAAATAAACACACAAACTGCCTTTCTTGGTGTGAGCTCAGCTCTCCTGAGAGTAGACTTAGTGTTTCCACCAGGGTGGAGGCACTTCTGCTCCCTCCATCCTGTCTGCAAGTCCTATTTTGGTGTGATTGTGCTTGTTTGCTGTACAGAGCAGAACCCTGTTTGTTGGGGTTTTTTTAAGCAAAACCCTGTGAATAGTTGGAAAACGAAATGCAAAAGGCTTTAACAATTAAAAAAAACCTCATTAAACCGATTCTTTAAAAGCCTCTGTGATGATGGAATTTTTATAGCCATTTTGACTTTTATGACCTCACACATTTGCAACTCATCTTTCCACTTTTAATCAAGTCAAAGTTCGGATTTTCTTTTGTCTAAAGACATAGAAGGGCACCCTGCTAATAGCTGATGTTTCTTCTCTTCCAAAATGCTGTTTTGAATAAGGCAGAGTTAAGCATGGGCCTGCCAATATTTTCCTTACGTGTTACAGCCATTTATTTTTATTTTTTCCTTAAATAAAATGTTTTGCAAAATGTGTGCTTAGGTGTAAAAGTGCCTGTTGAAAGTTAAACGCCGGTACATGTTCACTAACATTTTTCTTGTTGTATGTACAAATGGTTGGGAATTAATTAGTACATTTAAACTGTTAATTTGTTTTGAAAATTATTCTTAGATAAGAACAACTACAAACAGTTACTGGGAGCGCTGGATTACTCGTTTTTGTGTGCATATGCAGTTGGAATGTATTTAAGGTAAATACTCTCTCTTGGAAACCTGCTTTATTGCTTGCTGTTAATTTATGAGGCTGCACAGCTTCTGAGATGTTGTCCTTCCTTATGGGACAAGTTTCTGGTGAAGAGAGTGAGAAACTGATTGCTGAAGGGGGAAAAACCCACAGCATCCCCCCAAATCCCAGTGATATCATATCTGTTGACCTATAGAAAGCTTCTTACCTGCATCCATCATGACTGCCTTGTGCAGGAATGCCTTCCAACTTGGCCTGTCTTTGCTTCATGTGGAATACAAAGCAATATGCACTGGAATGTAGGTCCTCAATCAGTCTCTGACTTGTAAACTAAACTGGTTGTCCTGGCTTTCTCTAGAGTCAGAGGATGGAAGCAGACACCTCCTAGAAATAATACCAAAACCATCTTACAGTGTGCAGCGTTAGCTGCTGCTTGGAGATGTTTCTTTTCGTTAAAACCAGAACCTTCATGACTAGAATTATTAGCAAGGGAGACAAGTCTCGCTTTAAAAGGCTGGAGACATGTCCCACCTTACCTGTCACTTGGAAAATGACTCTGTAAGTAAATGGGCTCTAGATGAGTATCTCCCTGAAGGATGATTGTGCAGGTGTCAGTACTTAGTAATTAATGAACATGAAATGTTTGTTGGGATTTATTTTCCCCTGTCAAGGGCTAAAGATTGCTTCTTTACTGGTAACAGCAGTTTGCCTTCACAGCAGCAAAGTTTCTCCTCAACCAGAATTAAACAACACAAGATATTCTTCATTTGTGAAGGCTTGGGGTATGATCTCATTTTTAATTATGGCCTTTCTCTTTGTTACCTTCCCCATTCCAAGCGGACTGATAGGAGAGCGGCTGCCTATCCGGTACTATCTGACGGGTGGGATGCTCGCCAGTGGACTCTTCACTGCCATGTTTGGATTGGGTTATTTCTATAACATACATAATCTGTGGTTTTACATAATGGCCCAGGTAGGCACGATGTTATTTGGACACTCAAAGAGTTTCTGTGGTGCTGTTTTAGTGTTGTGTTGGGTGTTTCTCAGCTACATGCAGTGATTAGTGGTTGGATGGGAGGGTGTAAGTGTTGGAACACCCTGTCAGTGCTGACAGGCAGAAATGACAGGATAGCCCCAGGTTTTATTTTTGAAAAATGCTTTTCTAGCAAAAGAAATCTTTGAAAACAAATTAGTGTGTTTCACCCTGTGTCAAATCAGTGATCAAATCTTTGCAAGCTTAAATGTGGGCGAGTTTTGAAACAAGCCTATTTACTTTTGTCAGTCTGCCAAGACCTGAGTGACTCATCCTGGCCTTCTCTGCAGGAAAATTACATTTATACTGCTAATGATGAACAGTCTCCCACACTGGTGTGGCTGAGAACAGGCAGCTTATGTAACGAGATTCACTGTGTGAGATTTTTTTTCAGAGCACTAATCAGGTGTTACAAGAATATTTACTGTTGACCTGAAATGGGCTTTAGGTCAGGACCAGGACAGGGGCAGCACTTGAACCATTTTGGGCATGTCTGCACCTTACACTGCTGTGTTATTGCAGTAGGACTCTCACCCCTGGCTCCTTTGCATGGCACTGAGCAGCATGGCATGCACAGGTACTAACTTGGGCAGGGTGAGCATGTCACCAGTTAATCTGTTTAACCCCGTCCCTGCCCCAGCCCTCTTGGATCAGGTGGTTTCCAGGGCAGGAGCTGGCTCCTTTAGGGTTAAAGCTGCCTGTCTTTAGCAGTGCTGCCCTATGGGAGGTGGTCAGTGAGTCCTGGAATACCAAGGGTGGTCTGGCACCACCAGCCTACTTGGTTTTTGTGGGGTAGAGTGAGGTGATTTTGTTGCATGTTCAAATGCCCATTGTACATGTGAGTTATTGTACTGTGACTTTTGTGTTAAGGTGTAATTCTAGAGAGAGTAATTCTTGTTAGGCTTAGAGATAGTTAAAGTTATAATCTGTGCATTGTGGAGGCTGCAATAGTTCTTACTTCAGCCTGAAATGGTAACCTAAATTCCTCCTCTCAGTTTATTTACAGATGTCTGCTAAGCATTTTAAAGTGAATGTTCAAAGTTATCCAGTCTCCCCTAAAGCTTTCTTTTTTTTTCCACTTTATTTGATTGCAAACACGCTTTGCCATATGGTCAGACTGAGATAAGCATTAGAGTTGGACTCGATGATCCTCGTGGGTCCCCTCCAACTCAGAATAGTTCTGTGAAATTTTCTGTGTTGCTGTTTTGAGTGTGGGGAATCCACTTCTCAGTGCAATGTGACTTTTGGTAAGCACTAAGATTGAATGACAGCGTTCTGTGATTTAAATCCTGAAATAATTGCAGAGATGTGGCTGCAGGGAAGAATCTCTGCAAAACATCGTAACTTGGTTATTCTTGGGGAAAAAACCATCACTTTCAAACCTCCCCACTGAGTTTTTAAATTCAGGGCATTTGTGAGGGCTTCCTTTTCCCCGTGCAGCACTCGGCAGGAACTGTGTAGAAACCTGACTTATTGTAGGGTATGTTTATTTATTATCATTTTTATATACTTTCAGATAGCAAATGGGTTGGTGCAAACTACTGGCTGGCCGAGTGTCGTTACATGTATTGGCAACTGGTTTGGAAAAGGAAGGTAAATAATGTGTTATCCAAACTTCTGGAAGTACAGATCAATACATTCTGGGCTGTAATACAGCCAATTTAAGTATCTTTTTCTGCTTCTGCGTTTTTTGGGGATGAAGAAGCAGTTTGAGAGGAGCTTTCTTTGTTACACTGATTGGTTTATATCTGGGTTTGAAATATTCTCCCTCATGACAAACCAATGTTCTGAGGTAGCTCTTTAGCCTGGTACTTAATTTTTCAGATGAAATATTTCAGAATTGAATTAGAATAATCCTTGCAAATATTAACAGTCTAAACCCACTTCTAGTACAGGTTGTTACTATGCCATTTTAATGTGGAATTTGCCATGTTTTCATTTGTGTTTCAAAATAGTTGTCAGGGTGTAACTGTATAAAAGTATCTAATATCTTTTTTCTAACACACTTACATAAACTTAAAAATTCAATTTAAAAAGGAAAATACATATAGCAGCAGATTTAACCTTTCTTTTTGTCACTTTCTTCAAATCATCTCTTTGGGTTTTTTATCTTAATCCTGCACAGAGGTCACTTGTAATGTTTATTTTGTCGTACCACCGTACAGTAGTTTTCCAGAAATTTTGCAAGAGCTGCATGCTGAATCCACTGGCTCTGATAATGGTTGGTGCATGTAGCAAATAATAATAATAATGCTACTGTGGTACCATCCTTTGTAGGTAAAGACCATAAAAGAGCATTGTTGTCTTTCAGTTCCAGAGAAGGATATACAAAATTAAATATATGCTTCATATATAAAATCACGGCATAGTTACGAACACGTAGGTTCAGGCTGGTTTTCTGTGGTCCCTGCAGCCTTTTAGGAGAATGTTAGAAAATGCAGAGAATAACTGTCATACAGTACTGAACAAAATTGATGAGCCTGCGAAATAAATACGTTTATTCAAGTTTTGCTTTGCACAATAACAACGGCCTTTACTTTTAGGAGGCCACAGGGTGCTAGGGCTCTTGTCTGAATGTCAGTGATCTGGTTCTTGTTCTCATTTTGCTGCAAATTCCATGAAAACACGGGCAGACCTCTTAGATCTTCAGCCTAAGGAAAAGATTGGGCTTTGTTCGAGTTAGGTTGCTCCAGGTAAACTGCTGAGGACAAGGCAGTTTTCCCACGTGGAAGAACAAGGAGGGGAAAAAAAAAAAAAAAACCAACCCTGCTGTCATGACTTCAGTAGGATTTTTGTGGTTTATGTTAGCTGAGCTGGAGCTGGTCTACAACAGTTATAATCTGGGATTTCCAGGCAGACAGCAGCCTGATCTGTGTGTTAGCCAAGCTTGCACAGGTGTCATCTTCTGCTAATGCCCAGCAAGTCCAGAATGTGATTAGAAAATACTGAATTTGCTTCACATATCCTGTACAGGTTGTTTTCTTCTGCATGATAAGTCTAGCATGTCCTGAAAGCATCAGATTATCAGGGCAGTGTGTTTGCAGGAGCATTTTCATTCCCAAAAGCATCAGACTTCATGTCCACACGCTACACAACATCTGTATACTTGTTTTAGTCAAAGAAACTCTGTCCAGAAACATGCAAACCCTAATGGTGTCTTTAAATGCCGTTAAATGCAGGATGAGTTCTGGGATGCACAGAGAAGTATTTTACAACACTCTTATTAATATTTAGCTGCCCTGAAATTGCCAGATGGAGACTGTAGCATAAAGAAACGATCAGTTATAAGGACCATTAGATTGCAAATATTAGAAGTATTTCAGTAACAGCACAGATGAACAGCTATTTTTGATACGCTTCTCTCAATCCAGTAATGCTTGAAATAAGAAAAGTTTGTGGGTTGTTGTTTGGTTTTGTTGTTTTTTTAATGCAGGAGAGGTTTGATCATGGGAATCTGGAATTCACACACTTCAGTGGGAAATATCCTGGGATCCTTAATTGCTGCTTACTGGGTGTCCACGTGCTGGGGTCTGTCCTTCGTGGTGCCCGGAGTCATCGTTGCTGTGATGGGCATTGTTTGCTTCCTGTTCCTCATTGAGCGTGAGTGCTTTAGAGGGACAGAACCATGGGGGGAGCTCGTTATGGGTGAGGGACACCAGCTGCTGAAGAATAATTTAGGTTGGACAAGACCACTAAGATCAAGTCCAGCTTTTGGTCCGTCACCACCTTGTCAGTGAGACCAGAGCACTGAGTGCCACGCCCGGTCGTTCCTTGAGCACCTTCAGGGGTGGGGACTCCACCACCTCCCTGGGCAGCCCCTTCCAGTGCTTAACAACCCTTTCCATGGAGAAATTCTTCCCAATGTCCAACCTGAACCTCCCCTAGAGAAGCTTGAGGCCATCTCCTCTTGTCTTGTTACCTGGGAGGAGAGGCCGACCCCCACTTTGTTGTAACAATTTCAAGGTAGTTTTAGAGGGTGATAATGTCATCCCTGAGCCTCTTTTTCTCCAGACTGAGCCCCCACAACTCCTTCAGCTGCTTCTCATATGATTGGTCATATGAATGGTCTCCAGACCCTTCCCCAACTCCGTTGCCTAAAATGACTCCAGCACACTTGAGTAACCCTTCAGAAGTCACTCCACCCCTGTCTTGATAATTTGTTAAGTGTATCTTAGCAGAAGGTCCCACTTGGCTGCAGTGTATGTTCTGTGCTCCCATTCAACCCATGCCCTCCATCTTCTGTGCTGTGAAATACAGAAGTCAACTGCCAGAGCAGGTTGTGACACCTTAAATTAGAAGTTAAAGAGGAATGCCCCATCCTGTCCCAATAAAGACTCAGAGATATGAATGCTTATTTTAGTCTTAACTGTCCTATCTTGTCAAGGAGAGAGTTCTGCAGAGATAACTAGAATTCTGTAAAGAGCAGGACTGCCGAAATAGCCCTTGTTATCTTTACTGTTGGTTTGTTGTCAGTAAATTACACTATTTGAAAGTGTTTTAAGGGGTCTTTGTTGGGCTTCTTTTCACTGTTAACTATATGTGGTGTTGTATTTCAGATCCTAAGGATGTAAGTTGCTCCTGCACACCATCCAGTGTAAGTGAATCCTTTTTCTGTTTGGGTTTTTGCCTCCTGATACATGTTTATTAGGATAGTTCTGGAAACCAGTCTGTGTGGCCCTTTTGTGCCAGTCTGTTATAACTGATCCTGTACTTGGGGGAATGATTTGTCTGTGCTTCACTGGTAAATCAGGGCCTTATTTTCTCTCAAAGCAAGTGAATCAAGAGGTGAATTAATTTGTTTTAAATAAGGTTTTGGAATAGATGATCTTACAACAGTAAAACAAGTAAAAACTGTTCATATCTTTTTTTTTTCCTTGAGTTTTCTTACTTTTCTCCGGTCTCCCTGGGCATCTTCATGGCATTTTGACCTATCTCCTGCTGTTGCCTCCCTTGCATTAGGTATGGCATAGGGACATTGCTGCCAGCTGTATCCTGGGAAGGGTCTCACTGGGAACCTCCTATGAGGCTTTGCAGAAAGAGAAACAGCCCCTCTGCTGACCCAGAGTCAAGGAAGCATCTGCCTGTGGGCTTGGGATGGATGGTGGGATGTTCCCTTGGATACAGGAAGGGACAGTAGGAGCACATGGGTAGGGAAAAGCAAGGGGTGGATATAAAGCTGAGGAGAAGAGATGGGAGCAGTCAGTCAGTTTGTGACACAGAGTTTAGCCGTGATATAATACGGTGTTTATTTATCTGAAACTTCTAATTAATGAAGAAATGTGAAAAGGGAAGAGAAAAAAAAAATCTGTGCTAAGTTGTATGAATCATATGACAAATGGATGCTTTAGTTCTTGTGGCATCCCAGAATATTTTAGATTGAATCAGGACCTCTGTACATTGTAGAAACCTGCAAGAAAGATGGAAGAGAGACTGTTTACAAGAGCATGTAGTAACAGGACAAGGAAAAATGGTTTTAAACTGGAAGAGAGTAGGTTTAGATTAGATATTGGGAAGAAATTCTCCACTGTGAGAGTTGTGAGGTGCTGGCACAGGTTGCCCAGAGAAGTTGTTGGATGCCCCCTCCCTGGAAGTGTTCAAGGCCAAGTTGGATGGGGCTTGGAGCAACCTGGGCTAGTGGAAGGTGTCCCTGCCCCTGCCAGGGTGGAACTGGCTGAGCTTTGATCCCTTCCAACCCAGGCCATTCTGTGATCCTTATCCTCTGCTCACAGCAGGTCTAAATTTGACATAGGATCAGATTGCTTAGGGCTGGCCTGCTAAAATTTGAAATCCTCAAGGATGGAGGTGCTGTTTATACACAGATGTTTGGGGCAGGGCATTTAGATGTGCAGGGAGTTTTTAGAATGCATTGATCCCATGCTTCACTGGCATCAAGGCAGTGGATCTTGCTGTTTATTGTGTGAGAGCTTATACTTCAAGGGCTTAGATTTTGTCAGGGTTGTGAACTTCACTAGGCTGTAAATACAATGTCACACACAAGTTGTGTAACACACGTTGCCTGGATCACAAGGGAAGATGTGACACATCTCTTGACACAGTGGTTTGAAAGTCCACCTCAGAGATTGATTGCTCAAGGCATTGCTGAAGCAGGATTGAAATGTGTGTGTGCAAATGTCTTAAGCTTTTCTTGGGCTGCTGAACGTTGTATGTGTGTTTTTGTGGGCCATTGTGGCAGCAAAACTCGTTAACTGTCTTAATTGTTTCTAAAAGGAAAGCTTTCTCTTCTCTAAGTGCCTACCATAAAATGGTTCAGACACTAAAAGCAGGTTGGAAGTGGTTGAGCTCTGTTACCAAGATATTTGCTCAGTGCTTTTGAAACCAAAGTTCATAGGATGTTTTATGTGCTCAGAATTAAGTATTGTAGGAAGTCGTGTCAGTGGCAAAAAGATGTGCCTTGGAAATACTTAATTAAAATGAGAAGATGATTGTTTCCTTTCTTGCCTCATGTAGCTGTGACCCAAGAAGAGGGAGGCACTCGAAATAGAATGAGAGAAAAATAAAAAGCAAGGAAAAAGAACAAAAAAGAGAGCATTAGGAAGACCAGCTGTGCATAACTTCTCATATCAGAATATCATTCATAGCCAAGTTTTGTTTAGGAGTGTATTTACAGCTTCATCTTGTTTCGTGTTCCCTAAGGCTCTGGTGTGTGTTTGTCTCTACTGTAACCACAGCCTAGAGCAGCTCCTGCTCCAGCCTTCTTTTCCTTTGGCTTCCAGGAATCTGTGGGCAGTCAGGTCTGACATGTTTTCAGCTGTTTCCTTGGAAGAATAGTAGGGCTGATTGGCAGAGAAGGTCGTAGAGTTTCCCAGGTTTGAGGGCAAATCAGGGCTGTTGGGGGAGATGTCGGAGGGAAGGTCCCAAGGGAATCCCACATGGAAATTATCTGCACGTGTGAACTATACTTTCTATTTGCAAGTCTCACAAGTAGATTGTACAGGGGTGATTGTTGGTTTTTTACCACCCTCCTCCAGTATTTTCAGATATATTTTGTTTTTACATTTTAAATGCTCTCGAATAGTAACTGAAGGTAATGTTTTTAGTCTGTTGTCTCTTCTTTACCAGATAATGGTTTTTTTCTCCTCATATGAAGTACTCCTGTTAAATCTGCTGAATGCTTTCAATGGTCTGGGGAACTCCTGTTCTTAGTTTGTTACTGTGAGATAAGGTTGGATCACAGTACGTTATGTGTTTTTCATTTAATTCTCTTTCATTTCTCAAAGGTAACTTCTGTCAAGTATGAGAGTATTTTAAGTGGCTCTCATTGCCTCCTGTTAGGAGTGTCTTTTTTTTTTTCCTTAGCTTTTATGTAGTTCAGGAGCACCTAGAGCCTCATGTTTACAGAATTTGCTGTTCAGCCTCATGGAAGTAAACATTTGTTACTTGTTTTAAATACACTTTGACTGGAAAGCATAACTGAAGAGCCCTACGCAGTGTGTTGCTCATTTGTCTCAAGGAGCCGGTATGGAAAATTTTGACATGGAATATCTGTTTGTCATGATATTTCTAACAAAAAAAATTAGTATTTTAGGAGCTTCCCCCCCCCCTTCTATTCACCACCTTTTCCCTCAGTCCCAGAAAAGGAGCAGTCATTTGACCTCATCTTCTCTAGGGCACCAGCAGGATCACTGCTTCAGGCACACTCTTGTTGCATGGGGTGCATTTGACCTTCAGTTTTCCTGCAAACCTTGCCCTCTGTGAGCTAAAGGCATCACTTCTTCCTTCTCTGTTCCCATTTCACATCTGGAAATCTTGCAGGAGCTTTATAAAAATACTTCCCACCTGCCTTGGACCCTTTTCAGATTAAGATTCACCACTGTCGTGGAAAGCTGTATCCTATTTGAACTCCTCAAATACTTCTCTTCAGACCTGTGTGGTGTGCAAGGATTCCACATCCTTAGTGAATGGATTTAGCTCACAGCTTCTGTTCACTGCAGGAGGGTGGTTTTAGAACTTAAGGAAACAATTAAGGTCAGGGTAGAAGTTCACTGACCTCCTCCAAATGCAGGTGTGCTAATGACAGTGTCTGACTGTAGAGAAAACTGATTGTTCACTGAAGGAAGGTTCATGCAGTAAAAGACTGTGTTAATACTGGGAACAGAATATTTCAGCTGTGTTGTACAAGGAATTTGTCAGGCATAAAATGCTTGCTTTTTTTGCTCAGTTATTTCAGTGACAACCTGAACAACCTTTGTGTTTTCGCAAATGGTTAGAAATCTTTTTTTTTTCCCTTTTTTTTTTTTTTTTTGAGACACTAAAGAAGCATCCACGCTTGCTGTTCTCATCAGGCTGTAGTAGGTAGCTTTGGACAGATGCCTTGGTTAGGTGCAGGCAGCTCTGCTGGCTGGTGCTAAAAACCAAACCTCGCTGGGGAAGAATGAGGCCAGTTAAATTTGAAGCACCGCTAAAATAAATGCTCAGCTTGAGGGAAGGACTTCAGGGTGGATTTATATTGAGATCCAGAGATCAGTTTCCTCTCTGTGTGATACCACTGTCCTGGATGAATTTGGTCTACTGTTTATTTGCAGCGTGATCGTGAGCCCAGCATTTCTAACGAGTTTGTAGTGGTGAGTAATCTGATTTCACTGAGCTGTCCAGAATCACAGAAGGACAGGCAGGCACAGAACCTCGAATGTGTGGTTCTTCCTCTTTATTCCCTGGTTTCCTGGGCTGTCCTTCATTTGCCTGTGCTCATCTTGGCTCTGATTTATCAATCTGAAATTTGTTTGGAAATAAACACTTGAGTGCAATGAAGGGCTTTTAAATCCCCGCACGGGAGGCTTAATCCTTGACTTTCTGAGAGGCTACGCCTGTGACAAAGGAAAGTGAGAAGCCAGTGTGCTTTATTCAGCATTGGTGCACTTCCATCGTGGAAGTTAAAGAGGAGGTTTCACAGCATTTGGGTAGTGTGGTGATTTGGAATTGGTTTTATTGCTTCTCATCTTTTCTCCCCAGAGCTTTTTTTCTTTTTCTTCCCGTAGTTACATCCTGTTCGTTCAGACATGTCTTTATGCTCTAGGAACTCTAGGACTTGGCATTCCCAGGAAAACTTAGCTTCCTTAAACTCCTGTTGCCAAGTGCTTGTGCATTTAAGAATTACCGCGCTGCAGTTTTTATCTCCTGAAAAGGAGACGCAAATCCAAGTATTAAATGTGCAGCCTCTCAGTCTAGTCCTTTTTCCCTAGACGTTTTCTCCTTACCGCAGTAAATCTTATTTTTTGACAGTCAAATGAAAAAGCCATTCATTTTTCCTGTGCTGAGCTGCTGATTAAAGATGTAGATGACTTGTCTCTAGAAAATGGGTTTTCTTCCCCGTGGATCACTGTAAATCACATTTTTGACAAGAGCCAGATTCTTCTGTATGATAAAGTTTAAAAATCTGTTTCATCAGAGCCTGGGGGCTTGAGTGTTGTTGGTTTGTTTTGAGGAATTCGGGCCCAAGAACTGCTGGTGCCTCAGCTCTGTATTGAGCAGCAGAAATACTTCAGTTTATCCTGTAAAGTTTTTTGCCTTCTTAGAAGGATTTGAGTGATGAATGGCAGTTTGCCTGCAATACATATCCTTGTATTTTTGTTGGGGAAGAGTAACCCAGTGATTAATTTGGAATTAGAATGTTCAGGGAGGATCTGCATTCTTTTTTCGTTTGTGGTGGTGAGCTCAAGGGGGTGGGGTGCGTTATTTGGGGAAGAGTTTGTGGGGTTTTTTGTTTTATTTTGGGTTTTTTGGTTGGATTTTTTTAATATGTCATCAGGTGTGTGATTAGACACTTTAAAAAAATCATCTCACACCTGAGGAGTGCACAGTGCTTCTTTTGGTCTTAGCAATAGGTTGTCCATACCTGGCTGCAAATCTGCTTTAAAACTGTATATTTAGTTGAGCAGACAAACCTTATTGTCCCTGGTAAACCCTTTTACACCAAAGATCACAGAATTGTTTTCCATTGAATGCAGTTTTGTTGTGAACTGTTGCACTAATGCACTTGTTGATAAATAAGTATAAAAAGCAGGTCCATCTAGTACCTAAAGTGTAGCTTTATTGCCTTGACTTTTCTACTGGATGTGCTGGAGCTTCTCAGACTCTTCATTAACACTCTTGTCCACAAGTCCATTTCTGGGTTAAAAGAATATAGTGCTACAGAATATAATCTGTAGGGATAAACTTTAATCTTAAAGGGATAGGAAAGTGAAGAACCAAGGTTTTCCTGAAACAAATCAACTCCTGTGGTTGCTACTGGGGTCATCTGCTTATGAGAAAAAACTTAAGTTTGCAATGTCCGTAAATTCAGTAGAGAAAAAAGCAACTAAAGATGTTAAGAATGGTGTGACTGTGCTCTGAAATCAGTGTGCTGCTTCTGTCTAAAACCAGCATGAAATTAGCCTTCAGATAAATTTGTGACTGCATTTTTTTGTGTAGGTTGCCATAGGTCTGCTTAAGAACTTTGAGAACCCAAAATGCACCGTCATTAAATCAAAGATGTTCCATTTGGGGTTATGTTTATTTTACAGTGCACAAAAACTTGTTGCAGAGAAACGATTGACACTGATGTCATCTTTCATAAAACAAGCAACGAAAGTATGGAGTTGTTTTGTTTTGTTTTTCAGAGTGCTAAAACCTTCCTGAACGGTGCATCTCGATGCAGAATCCAGATGCCGACCTTAAATGCTAAGGAAAACGGCAAACCTCAGGTAAAATATAACATATTGTTGTAAAATAGCATAGAAGGCTTCCCAAGGCTCATGTGGAACATTTACAGTGGATTTACTGCTGGTGAGGATTACTCCTCCTTTTATGATGCTGAAAACTCTTTCCATTCTCGTACACAAATGTAATTTCAGATGAGGGAACTAAGCATTACCTGACATAAGTGCTGCTCATTTCCTGACATAAATACTACTAGCAGAGCTGAGTGAGATGGCATGCTTACTCAGTTGGTCCTTTTCTTGTAATCTTGACACAATTCCAGCAATGCACTGAAAAGTATTTCAGAGGTAGCCCACTTGAAATGTTTAAACTACGTGTATTGTGTTTGCCCCATCCTTGCAGTCTCACTTGTCTCCCTTTTGAATGCAACAGTTTTATGTACTTCTAAGATTATACATGGAGATGGATATTTCTGAAAAGGAGCAATTATTAAGAAAAATCCTGCTTAAAACTTGCGACCTTAAGTGCTGGTAATTCTCATCAGACACCGAATTTCAGACTTGCCTGTTGATGAACAAAAAGATATTTTATCTTGTGATGGGCATTAACTGAAAATTTCCATTTGAAAATTTGTATTTGTATTCAGTACACTTGGCACGTTGTATCCTGAGAGGATAACTTCCCCCCCACCCCAGCTTCTTTCAGACTTTTCCAGGAAAATAGAAACTTCCTGTTCCATTCATCCTTTGCCCATAGAATAATAATGAGCAATCACAGGGTACAATAATCAGTGTTGGTAAAAAGGTTTTGAAATTTTTGCTGAGGAAACACTTCACTCATCATTTTGATCACCCCAGCTTAAATTCCCTCTGTACTGAGCTTTTCATTTTTGTTTTGAGCTGCTTAAGAACTATCTCCAACCCAGAAACCATTTGTCAGTATGATTTCCCAACCATCTGGAAGATAAGGGGAGATAGAAGAATAGCAGCAGGTGACTGTATTTCAGCTCTGTCATCATGACTTAGAATCATGGTTGAGAATGGTTAGTGTTGGAAGGGACCTTAAAGATCATCTCATTCCAACCCCCCTGCTGTGGGCAGGGACAGCTACCACCCTCCCAGGTTGCTCAGAGCCCCATCCAGCTTGGCCTTGAACCCTTCCAGGGATAGGGCAGCCACAGCTTCTCTGGGCAACCTCCTGTTGTGCCTCATCACCCTCACAGGGAAGAATTTGTTCTGTAAATTCCCACTTGCTGGCAGCCTTGGCAGTGTTCTCCCCTCATCCCCTCTCCGCCCTGCCAGCTGGGTTACACGCTTGTAATGCGGAGTCTTAACAAGGTTTAAAAAGAAATGAATAAAAGAATTAAAAATCCTTGCTTGTCACTCTCTGGGACTTCCTGATTTTCTGCCAGTGGCAGAAGAACATCTTTCTCCTGTCAAAAGCAGAGCTGAACATCTTTCCTTTTCACAGTGGTTGTGTTGCAGTTGTGTGGAGCTGATTTTCACAGTCAGCTTTTGAGCCTGTACAAACAGCAGATGTTTTGCATTTATGAGTTGGTCTCCAAGCACACTGGAATGGCAGCTTTTACTGGGTTTTCATTGACCTCTGCAATTACTGTAAAAAGAAAGCAAATACTCAGGATCTGCAGTGATTGAAAGCAGAATGTGTTTTTGGCTGCGTGACCTGAATACCTCTGTGCCTTCATTGCTGCTTATGTTAGGTTGGCCTCTTAAAAATTACACAAAATTGAGGGATAATGAATCCTTCCCCAGAGATCAAAAGTGTACCATATGCCTAATCAAGCTCTATGACAAGCTGGCATGGTTGTACAAGCTAACTCTGCCAAGCACAAACTGCTGGTTTTATTTATCATTTAGTTATGTGCAGCATAAAAATCCCATATTGTCAACAGAAGTTTCGAGCATGAGTTAAATAAGGGTTTTTTTGGACTTTAGTCACTTCTACTTCAATATTTAACCCACTCTTTCAAAATAGATTGAGAGCTACTTGTCTGAGAAATGAGCAGCATTGCCTCAGACAAACCTGGTGAAGTTTGCTGTGCAGATTGTGCAAGAGATACTCACTTAGACACTTATCTGGAAGTGTCTTCCAATGAATCCAGGGGGAGCTTCACTGCTAAAGCCCTTCTTTTTCTCCTCTCTCTCTCTCATGTTTTTTAAGTGTTAATAGCAGATGGTTTGAATTGCTAAATCCAAATTTCAATTGCTAAATGACTGTGTTAAAATGGTTCAAGTTTTGAAGTTGCTCCAGTAATTCAGAAGATAAATACTTATGATGATGATGGTAATGATGGAGTGACTCATGTGCCATGAACAGTTTACAGTGCCACGTCAAAACTCCCTAGATGTTTTTTTCTGTCTTCCACTTAATGCTTCATTGGGGTGCAGAGTCTCCCGTATATCCTGTATCCTGGCTACAAATCATGTACAGAACTTTGGATGCTGCTGATGGCTTCTAAAATTATGCTCAGTGTCTGGGCTCAGGTGTCCAGATGGTTCCCTAGTGCCTTCTGCTAAATGATGTTCTTTAAAAACAGAATTTATTTAGAATCAGAGTGTAAAAAGGCAGAATTGAATTTTTCCAACACTTTTTTCCCCTTCTTTTCTTCTTCCATCAACTTACCAAATGTTAACCAGAAAGTTTTAATCTTTGTAATAAATACTGGAAATAAAATGGCCTGTTGTTTTATCCTTACTAACCAGCAGTCAGATACATATTTGAGGCTTAATTCTTCACTGAGGCTTTATTTAAATGCTGAAGAATTAGGGGGAAGAAGACAATATGTAGAATACATAGCTAGGAAAAGTGCACATCCAGGTAAAGCTTCTCAGTGAGCAGGTGAAAGTGAGGATAGCTACATCCCATCCTTTTTCCGAGATGGAAAAGAGCTACTGAGGGCTATTTATACCTGAAAATTCTTTTTCCTGTGCACAGCTGTAAGATGTAAATTTCCAGTTCTATTCTGAGTTCGTTTCAGCGTGGTGGATGGGTAAAAATAACATCTACCCTCATGGCTACAGTGGGATGGCTTGTTCTTGTTGAGTGGTAACTTACTTCACAAGTATTCTTAGCAGCCAGTGGAGTTCTTGAGGTAAAATTCTTCCCAGTGCTAAAAAAGGACTCAGAATTCAGCTTAGGTAATACTGGCACATTCCAGGCTTTTATAATTTGGGAATTTCAGTGCTCGAATGAAACAGAGGTGAAAAAATAAGTGATTTCTTAACATAAAATACTCAATTTCCATAATTCAATTGGAAAGATGGCTTGTATTTAAATCAGTGGATAAGATGATGTTGCAGAGTCTGAAAAATGGGCTTAATATTTGCACAGAAAGAAGATAATACATGCTTTATACAGAAATGTGTTGTAGTATTCAGTAGATTGTCAGCTTTTATTAGACCACATTTATATAGTGGGGTAAAGGAGGACTGGAAACTGTTTTATTCCACTGAATGTGCTCTAATATGTGAAATTGCTCCACAATAGAATAGAAACTTGGTTCCATAATGGAGTGTATGCACTCAGATATAAACAACCACAATTATATGCACTCAGATATAAACAAACACAATTATTTCACCTGATATTCTGTATATACTCTCTTTGTATCTACTCTGTGTATTGAAATCAAGGTATTTTTAAAAGCTGTAACATTCTGTGATAAAACATATGCTCATCTTTAAAAATTATTTTGGAATTACTTGGTTTCTTTGCATACATATTCTGATTCTTTGTTCTTTTCTCTCTCACATGGGGAAACTTGCAGGATCCAGAGGTGCAGCATTTGCTTACTGACAGTGAAAACTGCAGCGTGTCCCTGAACTCCAGCACTGTGCTCAGCGGGGAGGGAAGACATGGGGCATCAGCAATCAGCTTCCTTGGGGCCTTGAGAATACCTGTGAGTACTTGTGCTGTTCCTCTAAGAATTAAGTTTTGCCTCAAAACTCGTATTTTCTTGAAGATCTGGATGGAGTGGTAGAGGATATTAACTTTGCATCACAGTCTTGGAATGCTGAGGGCTTTGGGCTTGTCCTCAACTGGTTTTTACTGTGGCAAAGTGGAAGTAACGGGTAGAAAAATTGCTGCTGCTCCCACCTGGAATCTCAGAGCCTCTGTGGTATTTTTCCTGCCTACTGTTGGGAAGGGTTATAGCTCCATGTTGGAGTAGAACCAGTAGAACACAGAATCTCTGTATGTGTGTGCTGTTCCTGAGGATAACTGCAGCCTTCCATACCAGGGGTTTAGGAAATCTTTTTTTCAAACAGAAAGATATCAGATGGTGAGGGGAATGAAGATAGGTTAATTTGGCAGTTTAGTTGCAGCTCTGTGCAGTAAGTACACTTTTATGTTCCCAGCAGGAAAGAGGATGGAGCAAGTTAGTGTCTAAAATATGTCATTGCTCTCTGTGCTCTTGCCACATACTGATTTGAACTGTGTCCTACTGGCTTTTTATGAAGAGCCGAACAATAGGGAAGAAATCTTGTGCCTGTCTGAAGGAAGGATCTGAAAAGCACAGAAAGGTGCCAGTTTCTCTGGAATACACTCCAAACCAGCTATAGTGCTATATAACAGCTCTTCACACAAGGAAAATAAGCGATGCGAGTGTCCCAAACAATATCAAATCCTTCGCCTTCACTTCAGTGTTCTCTCTTCAGGTTATTCTCTACCATTTTAGTGTTTTCAGTCAATTCAGTACAATTGAGAAAAGATTAAAAAAAATACAAGTCAAATACCACAGTCTGCTCTTTGTGCTCTTGGGGGAAGAATGCTTCTTGGGAATTCTCAAGAGAAAAAGAAAAGAATAAATGCTTCTTAGAAACCATTTTCATAATGGCCTTTGAAAGGAAATAGCTCTGTCAAGATACTAACTTGCTATTTTCTTTATTCTCTCAGGGAGTTGTAGAGTTCTCCCTTTGTCTTCTGTTTGCAAAGCTGGTGAGCTACACTTTCCTCTTCTGGCTTCCCCTGTATATCACAAATGTAGGTAAGTATCACAGTAAAGGGATACAGAATTATGGCTACAAAGTGTGTGGGGATACAAGCTTGAAATAAATAAAATAAACATTACTGCTTCTAAAAGAGGCTTTCTCTGCTGCAGTAGCAGGAGCGTTGTAAGTCACCAACTAACATATTTGTCAGGGTTATGAATTCAGAGGACATTTTCAAAAGAAACAAACAGAAGAATCTGGCTTATCTTCAACAATTCCAGGCATAAATGCTGTGTCTTTGGCTTTTGCAAACAAATCAAAAAGACTTACTTTCTAAAAATGCTTTTAATAATTGGAGTGTGTTATTAAAATCTCTACAGAATAATCTAAATTAACTTATTTATCTGTTGAGTACTGCTGTTTTGGTTTTTTTGCACTTTAGAGTGCAGAGAAATTCATTTTCTTGTGAGTCACGATGGGACCTTTAAACCCCCAGAACAAAAAAGATGTGCTGGAACATCCAGCAGACAGAGACAGGTTGAACAGCCTGTGAAAGCACAAAGCGCTGCAGATCCTGTAGCTGAAACCTCTTGTGGGTGGACCAGAGCTCATACTCCTGCAGGACTGGGTACCTTGAGGGCTGTGGGCTTTTAGGAGAAAGGTTGATGGTGTTTACCTTGGTGCTGCTCTCTGTGTTGTGGCAGATGCTGGTGAGATTATGGTGGTACCCCTGACCCTTCTGCCTTAGCACATACTCCTCTGTCAAATGTATTGCAGAGGCTTTAAAAAAAAAAAAAACCAAAAAAAAAAGGGGATTTTAGACATTCAACTCCTTTTGAAACTTCATACTTAATAGGAGTGGGTTGCTCAGCTTCCTGATGTACTTTTGGGAATCTGACCCTGTAGCAAATCAATAAGTACATTAGGGTAAATATAAGTATGTGCCCAGTGGTCCTCAGTGCCCCAGGCAAACTGTGGAGTTGAGTTTTTCCCTGGCAAACTGTCCCTGCAGATCCCTGGAACTGCAGAGTGCAGGTTGTGCCAAGCTGTGATTTAATGATGGATATTACAGGTCATATGGTGGAGGCCTCCAGGATGAGGCTCTTGTAAGTGATCCAGATCTACACTAATCATGCTTTTAGAGCCAAGAGCCTCATTTGTGAGTGTTTGTTTACGTTTATGTGGTTATTCACAAACAGGAAGCTTGTTAGGCCAAACTTCAGCATGGATGCAGTCCAGGCAATAGCACTGGTGAGGGCCACCAGCTCTTGGGTGACATCAAGATCAGAGGCAGCCTGAGCTGCAGTGGTGATTCACTGGTGGAGTTCACAGTCCTGAGGGATCTGGGTCAGGCAAAGAGTAAGGTCAGGGCTATTGAGCTTTAGGAAAGGAAACTTCAACTGCCCAAGGAGTTGATCAGTAGAACCCCCTGGGAAACTGCCCTCAGGGAGAAGCAAAACAGAGCTGAGAGATCTTTAAGGACTCGAAAGCTCTTGAACCTCAGGTGTAAGAAATCAGGAAGGGAAGGTGAGAGATCATTGTGGCTGAGTTGAGACCTGTTGGTCAAACTACAGGGCAAGGGGCAAGGAGGAAATGCACAAGTGGGCAGTGGAAAGCAGGACAGGTATCCTGAGCAGAGTATGGGGACACTGCCTACTTGTGTAGGATCAGGTCAGGGAGGCCGAGGTGCAGCTGGAGCTGAACTTGGCAAGGCACTCAAAGAGTAGCAAGAAGGGTTTCTACAGGTATGTCACCCAAAAAAGAAGGGTCAGAGAAAGTGTGCTTCCCCCTCCACCCCCTCCTCATGAGCACGGCTGACAAACTGGTGACAGTGGATGAGAAGGCTCAGAGAGGTGCTGGTGGATGAGAGGCTGGACATGAGCCAGCCACGTGCACTGGCAGCCCAGAAACCACCCCTGTCGTGGGCTGCATCAAAACCAGTGTGGGCAGCAGGGTGAGGGAGAGGATTCTGCCCCTCTGCTCTCACGAGACCCCACCTGCAGAGCTGCCTCCAGCTCTGGGGTCCCCAGCACAGGAAGGACATGGAGCTGCTGGAGCGAGTCCAGAGGAGGCACTGAGATGATCAGAGGGATGGAGCAGCTCTCTTGTGAAGACAGGCTGGGAGAGTTGGGGTTGTTGAGCCTGGAGAGGAGAATGCTGTGGGGAGACCTTACTGCTTCCTTTCAGTCCTTAAAGAAGTACTGAATAAGTACTTCTTATAAGAAAGATGGACCAACATTTTAGCAGGGCCTGTTGCAATAGGACAAAGGGTAATGATTTTAAACTAAAAGAAGGTAGATCTAGACTAAATATAAAGAAGAAATTTGGTACAATGAGAGTGGTAAAACACTGGAACAGGTAGCCCAGAAAGGTGGTGGATGCCTCATTCCTGGAAATATTCAAGGTCAGGTCGGGAACAACCTTATTTGGCTGAAGGTGCCCTTGCTCATTGCAGGGGTTTGGACTGGATGACTCCTAAAGGTCTCTTATAACCCAGATAATTCTGTAATTCCGTGATGATAAAAGTGGCAAAATGTCTCTTGCAGTGAGTGTAATCGCCTTCAGAAAACTCTGTTGCTGAATATCCACTTAGATACATTTGTCTTGCACAGTGTCACCTTGTGGCAGCTTATTCCTGTGAATAAACAGCACTGCTGTAAGATGCCTTTGCCCTGGAGTGACAGGACTATGGTGAGATTTCTATCTCTTATTATAGTGTAGAAATGACACAAATGTTTTGCTTCTCTCCCTAGAGCATCTTGATGCCAAAAGAGCTGGGGACCTTTCTACACTGTTTGATGTGGGTGGAATCTTTGGTGAGTTTTGATACTCATGTTTCACCCTTATTCACACCAGCTCAATAAAAACTCTGGTACACACAGATTGCATATATTATTGTATAGTCTTTGTGCTTTGTGTCCACTGAAGGAGAGTGGCAGTAAAGGTACTGAGCTGAGAGCTGTGTTGGGTAGCAGAATATCTTCAGAGCCAATTATATTGTCCAGTACAAATCGTAATAAATTGTGTTGCAGTTCCTATTCTGCTCTTGTGCTGGGTGTGACTTCTGCCGTTTTTCACTGCTGTTTTCATCCCAGAGGGCAAATAGCTAGGGTCAGTAGTACCTTAGAGATGTGGGTGATGTCTTTCAGCAGCATCTGATTCTGCTGTGGACGCAACCTTAACAACCTGCCAGGGCAGCTTGGACCTCTGGCATTTATATTTAAATCCAAGTAGGATGTGAGCACTTCATAGGTGGGCATTTGGGAAGGGAGAGGCAGGCCCAGGGGGACATTTAGGAATCTGGAGAATCCTAAAGGAACTTCCCTTCCTTCTCCCTATACCGAGTTCCCTTTATATAATTATGACATCTCCTTCCTCAGGCCTTGCAACCCCCTCCAGCCACACACTACCCATTAGTACAACCTGTACAGTTGTTGGCAAACACAAGAAGTAGGGAAAATTAAAGGGCTTGGATTGACTACCTGGAGAGAAAACCCACATATTTCATTTGCCCCAAGATACAGAATAGCTCATTTCCCATGGTCAAAGTGTGACAAAGACATAAAACTTGAGAACGAGTTAAGAGACCAGTGAGTAACTGGGCTCAGCTGGATTCCAGAACACCAGCACTGGGGCCATGACCTGCCAAAAAAGGCTTTTTGCCTTGGATATTTGGTTGGAATAAACAATGAAGAAGAAGAATAGTCTACTTCTGTTATTTTCAGGTCATAACTGGTTTGGTTAATGAGGATTTTGCTGTGTGAATTACGTTGTGAGGCTCACATGCTGTGCTGCTGTATGTAGCTGTACAAGTAGAAGTCATTGGGTTGTGTCTCATTAAGTAATAACTGATGTCTTTTGTGTAAAACATGCACTGAGTGTTTTCCTCACACACCTGCGTGCTCTTCCAGGTGGAATTTTGGCAGGTCTCATTTCAGACAGGCTGGAGAAGAGGGCATCAACCTGTGGGATGATGTTACTGCTTGCAGCGCCCACGGTAAGAGATTGCTCCTCTCAGCTGTGGCTGAGACTGTGACAGCATTCCTTGGACAGTCCTGCAGGCAGCATTTTCCAACCTGGATATAAAGAGCTCGGGCCAGATTAAAAACTGCCATGAAAAGCTGAGCTAAGTGTAGACACTGGGGCTGCCTTTACTAAACAAGCAAATAAGTTTAATGTATTGTTTGTCACAGATTATGTGGAATCTTTCACTGTCTTGTGAAAGTAGATGTGTAGTTCTTAACCAGAATTCTAACTGCTCAGATGCTAAAATTTCTGTGCTGTAGCTGTTGGAAAACTGGCAGTTGTACACAGGAGGTGCATTTTTCTTTTATTCTTTTGTGAGCACTGTTCTGTGCTGCGTGGAAGCTGCAGTTGGAGTGTTTAAAACTGAGTGGTCTCATAACACAGCCCTTCCTTCTGACAGGACATACTGGGGAATAGGATCATACCCCTCGTCTCCCTCCTGGAACTAGTTTTCATATGATACCAACTAAGATAGTTTGTAGTTAACATGGGGAAAATAACCTGGGATTAGTCTGTGTGTTGATATTCAGAATGCTTGTTTTTCTGTCTTTACAGTTGTACATGTTCTCTACAGTCAGTAAAATGGGACTTGAGGCCACTGTGGGTGAGTATTTTTAAATTATACTGCCTAGCTTTCTGTGAACTTTACAGTTATGTTCCTTTGATGCTCTTTCCTTTTTATTTTATCTTTTCCCTTAGAGGAGGAAGTTTGGAGGGAAGTTCCTTAAACTTGTTCTTGCAGGCTTTTTACAGGGTAAAGGGAGGAGGTAGGAAGTGAGTAAAGGTTGGCATGAGAACAGTGGTTTAGTTCATATAATTAGTCTTCTTTCTAGAGCTTGTTGTGTCAGTGCATACTTTTTATTATATTCCCTATGCTAAATGTTAGAGCTGTTTAAGGACTACTTGTAGTACTTTTGACAGCAATGTTTACTTGTATAGGCTGAATTCACGTGTGGTTTTCTACCTCTTACCTCAAAACAGAAGTTAAAACACAAGTACAGACTGTAGTGTCTCCCCTGCCTAAAGGCCTCCGTCAGGTTTAGGGTCCTCTGGTGCTGTACAAGCAGAAAAGGGGCTTAGGGATGTACCCTGTGAGTAACCCTGCTCTTGCAGTGAGTTTGGTCAAATTTTCCCCTTTCTCTGACCTACCAGGATGAATAAAGCCCCTGGGAAGTGCTTTTTGTCACAGCCCCATCTTCTGTTATGTTTGAGAATTCACACCACAAAGTAAAGCATTGAAGAGAGGGAGGAACATACATTGGTTTTCTTCCTTTCCCAATTCTGTAATGGGGTCAGGGGAGCCAAAGATGGATTAAACCATTTGGGAACCATAGGCTGTGATGTCTCCTGTTAACAGTCTTTCAGGCAACTCAGATTTTCCCTTTCTTTTTTTAACTTTCTACAGTGATGCTGCTTATCAGTGGTGCCCTGGTGAATGGCCCTTATGCCCTGATCACCACTGCTGTCTCTGCTGACTTGGTGAGTTTGGCTTCCACTCTGTTTCCCTGCAGCAGTTTGGCCTCCAGAGAGAGTCCTTTGACTTCTGCAGGGTCAACAGGGAAGGGGCTGCATTGTCCCAGAGCAGAGGAGCTGGAAAGGCAGTGCTGAGCTCAGCCATTGAGATTATTTTAGTTTGTGTATCGGTATGAAGGAGTGTCACGCTCATGAGAGGCTTCTAAATTATTCTTGACCACTAACAAGACACCAAATCTTGTAGATGAAGGTTGCATGCAAAGCCAGGCCTCTGTACAGGTGCCTTCTCCCTTTTTATATTTTACATCTTTAAATGAGGGGAGGAGCTGTACCTGTGTGAGAGATGACTTAATTCCCATCAGGGAAGAACGCTATTCCTGCCACAGACCTTTACAAAAGTATAAGTATGTAAAAATAAAAAGTCAAGGTTCAGATGCTGCCCTCTGCCCTGCAGTTGCTCAGGCTGCCAAGCACTTCCAGATGGATCAGGTCACACAAATGCCATGTGAAAATATCAACCCTGCTGCCTGTTCATTAGGGAGGCTTTGGAAGGTGTTGGTTCCTTAAGGCACCAAGCAAGAAGCAAAAGTCCTCTAACAAATGTGCTAAATACAGGAAAAGGGAGCAGGACAGAAACCTCTGGAGCCCTATCCTTGGGCTTGGAGGTCTTGGCAAGACCAGGGTGACCCCCGTGCATTGCCCATTTTGCCCTTGCTGAAAGAGCTGCTGTCTGGAAAGTGAGACCTGACATTGCTGGATATTTAAGCCACCTTCACAATATGTATCTAATGTGGAGGGGTGTGAGCTGGATGATGTTTCAAGGACTTCTTCAGGGTTCAGCTCAGGAGGGTCTAAGCCATCTTTGTCACTTCAGGGCACCCACAAAAGCCTGAAAGGGAACGCGAGAGCCTTGTCCACAGTGACGGCGATCATCGATGGAACTGGATCTGTAGGTAAGCCAGAGTTGAAGATCACCTGCCTTCACTGGGGTAGGTTAAAACTAAGGATCTTTGACAAATTGGGCTCTCTCTTCAGCTCACATTTTGCCAGAACAGCTTTGAAAATGGGGAATGGCACAGACTTAGCCTGAAACCTCTAGTGGTCCCACACCTGAGGGTGTTAGACTGATACTGGGCACAGACAGCAACAGTAGATGCCATTGGGTTGTTTCTAGGATGAGGGATATTTTATTCATGCCCTCTGCACCGGTATGTGAAAGGGAAGATTGAGTAACATTCAGCTTAATACTGGATGATCATTTTGTTGAGCCAAAGGCAGACATTTATCACACATTCAGCCTTCCAGCTTCCCTGGGTTAGGTTTTGCTTTGGATTGCATCTGCACCAGTAATGTTTTGCACTTTCTGAGACTTTTTAATGCATAAGGTGATACTGAGTTAACTAGAATCATAGAATATGCTGAGTTGGAAGGGAACCATCAGGATCATGGAGTCCAACTTCTGTCCCTGTACAGGGCACCCCAGAAATCACACCACGTGCCTGAAAGCATTGTCCAGACACTTCTTGAACTCTGTCAGGCTTGGTGCTGTGACCATTTTCCTGGGGAGCCTGTTCCAGTGCCCAAACTCCCTCTGGGAGAAAAAACATTTCCTGACATCTGACCTAAACTAGGTGGAAAAATTGATACTCTAACTCAGAGTTAACTGTATTTTAGTGTATCTTACACTGCAGAATTTGACAACACTAATACTGTATTTTAGGTGCAGCTTTGGGACCTCTCTTGGCTGGTCTTATTTCCCCATCTGGTTGGAACAACGTGTTTTACATGCTCATGGTGGCAGATGCATGTGCCTTGCTAGTAAGTCTACAAATATTATTTAGTTGCTGTGTATTCCCTCTGTGCAAGACTATCCCGAAATGCAAATTTCCCCTTTGCCATTTCAGTGCTCCATCTTCTGTGAAACTTCCACTGTGTAGGAAATTTCCAATTAAGGAGCAAATCTGCTCGTTTTGAAATTTCTCATCCAATTTTAATCAGAAGTGCAGGTTTAGTTCTGATGCAGTTCCCAAGCAACAGGAATTAACAGCTGTTAATTGCCGGCTGAGCAGCTTTCAGCAGGCTTAATTGTAAATAAACTTTCATATCCAGACCTGGAAGTTGCCTCAGATTCCTCTCACGGCAGAAGGACTTCTGTTTTCTTGAAAGGCGGTTGAGCAAAGCGATAACAAATGTTCTCCTACCTTGCCGTATCCCCAAAATCGCCGCGATAATGAAGCCGTTGAAAGTTAATACATCACATTTTCCAGATGGGCCCTAAAACTGCTGCAGTAGCTTAGATGAAAAACTGGCATCCTAACTTTTGACAGTAACCAGGAGCAGATGTTTAGGGAAAAGGAATGGAGCACATGTGTAGTGGCTTCGTTCAAAGCACATCCATTTTCCTTTTTTTTGTAATCCTGAGATCCTGTGCGCTCGAGAGAAAGATCTGAAGAGGGGTTTGGGTTGGGGTTTCTTTTTCATTTCTGACTTGCTCTGCTCTGCTTTTAAAGACCGAGGAAAGCACAAAAAGACACAAGTCTTGCTGCACCTTTGAAGTCAGTCTTGCTGCACCCACCTGTAGGTCACGTTTCTGTGTGTTCCAGAGATCCCCCTGGCAGGTGTTCTGTACCTGCTTTGTTCTTCCCCAGAGCAGAATCATGCTATGAACCACCTCAGAGGTGTCCTGAAGTGTCACCTGCTTCTCCTCTCCTTTGAAATCCTGGGTGGAAGTGCTTGTGAAAGGGCAAGGGTGACTGTGAAACACTCTCAGGAGCTCATGCTGAGAGTGCCAAACCACTCCTTCCTGACACGAGAAAGTCTTGCTTTGAGTTACAGTTAAAGCTTTTTTTTCTTTTTCTAAATTCAAGTTAACCTCAAAAATTTGAAGTAATTTTTTCACATTTAGGATTTGAAATCTCTGGAAATTCAGTAAATAGATTAGGTAAGTTAATAGCTGATGTGTTTGGTAGTCAGCAGCTCAGTAAATCCTGGTTTGTGCTGTTTTCAGTATTAGGTATTTCCTACTGCAGAGTGAGGTTTGGGAGCTTATTGTACTTCTCCCAAATAGACCTAAAGCTCTGTTGTTGGTTTTTTTTTTTTATAGTAATTGAAAAGTGAAAACAAAAAACCCACCACTTTTCTTTGCAGAATCAATTAAAACACCTTTGCAAAGCTCTGTTCTTGAGAGGACTGGCTCTGCTGTTGTAATAAATCCTTTTTTGTGTAACTCTTGTTCTGGTTTTCCTGTCCTTTGCAGTACAGCATAAAGATGCCTGTGTGCAAATGTTATTTCTTCAAGGGAATCTAGAGGGGCTTTAGTCTCTTATGGGGTACTCAGTTCTGTCATTCTTGGCCACTTCTGTACCTCCAAAATGTTAGGTTTAACTTCTTAAAACACTAATACTTAGAATAGTGAAGGAACTTCCATTTATGACAGTGAGAGTCTGAGGAGAATGTAGCCAGAAACAGTGAGGAACCCTGAAAGTTCTAATTCTGTCCTTAAAGTACGTGAGAATCACCAATTTTAACTGTAAAATTACTTTGCTGGTACTATCTTAGTAGCCCTTTTAAAGTGCACTGGAAATTCCTGATCCAGCACAGGCACACAAACTTGACTCATCTTGACTAATTGTGTGATGAAAGCTTTTCACACACAGAGTTGTTTTTCCAAATAACAGTTAAAATACTTTTATGCTCAAACATTCCTATCTGCTGTGTTTTCTTGAAATCTTGGGTTCCCTCTGCTGGTTTCTTTACATGTTTGCCAGAAAAATGTTCTTGTTTTTATGAGAAAATTGATCTCTTAGTTGCAGAAAGGAAACTACTTTCCTCTTACCTATTCACTGTGAAAACTCCTCCTCCAAACATTGACTGAGCATCTGTAAATCTTCAAATTTTTTAAGTTTTTTTTTTTTAAACTGAGTTCAGCATTATAGGGTAATATTTCAAATGAGAAACTCTTCAAGCAACAATGAACATCTTATGCTGAAGTAAGTTTCTTAGCTTATTTGTTTGTCTGTTTATAGATACTAAAACAGATACTGTGGTTGTTTTTGCAGCTCTTACTCCGTCTTATTCAGAAGGAACTTCAGTGTGATGCAGATCACACCCTGTAAGTGCTGTGTTTTACTGTTGCTTGTTAATAATGGTTTAAAACACATTACTGATCCTTTCATATGTAATCATTAAGGTTAGAGAAGACCTCTAAGGTCATCAAGTCCAACCTTTGCCTTGTAGTACATAACCCAGACTGAAAGTGTTACAGTCCGTTTATGTCTGGGTTAATTTTGCTTCAGAAGAGTAATCTCAGTTTGATGTTTACAAATCATGAACAGTTTTCTTCAGAACATCTTTTGAAAATACCTGGAAGCACACCTCTGTCCCAGTCTCTTGGTTATGGTGTATTTTTTCCTGGATTTCATCCTGCAGGTGGGGAAAATAAGCCCCTCAATTGCTTGATCTGGGTTTAATAATAGTTTCAAATTCACGTTTTTCCAAAAACGTCTCCTTAAAGAAAAGGGTGACTCTGAATTTACAGTGGTTTGAATGGAGGGGGGAAAAAAATCCACTGAACCAGTGGGGTTACACTTGCAGATGCAAAATCTGAATTGAGCCTGAATCTGAAGTGTGCAGTTTTGGAGAAGTAACATGGACAGAGAACAGAAAACACATGGCAGGGGATAGATCCTGCCCTTTGGAGCTGGAGGCTGTGAGACCTCACACCTAAATCTTTCCTGCCTGGTTTGTTCTTCCCCAGGTTTAAAGAGCACTGAGCTACGAGAGCAGAGCTGGAATAAGGACTGCGTCAGTGGTCGGAGCTCTTCCCTGAAATCCAAACCTCATGGGATGATTTATTCTGTCTTTAAGAGGTTCTGTTGGGTGAAGAACTTTGCACCTTTACAGGAAGCAGTGTGAGAAACGCAGCTGGTGAATCCCTGAAGCTCTTTATTTTTGCACATGAGTAAGTACCTCAGGATGGCAACTGTTCATCAGAGGAAGAGACGGGAACCTTGGGAAGGTTTTAGCAGCACGCCTCAACTTGAGCCAAAGAGAAATACCAAGTGCCTTTTTTAATTCTTTTGATAGGATGTTTTTAATTAAAATTATGAACTGTGTATTTGCCAAAAATCAAGGCAAAACTAGAGCAGAAGGAAGTTGAAATTGTACCAGCCTGGCAGTGGCTGTCCCAGTGTCAGCGAGCGAGGTCTGTGTCTCTTACGTCATCTTGTGTACATTGAGGGCATCACTTCACAGAGGACAATATCAGCTGGTCATTAAGATGTGCTGCTGTTAGTATTTTGAAGCTGCTCAGACAGCAGCCACCCACTGTATTATTAGTTTATAACTACAGTACTGCTTCCCAAGGACAACATCCAGCCTTTTGGTAGGTAATGAAATGGAATTTACTGTTGCCATGTACTGCAGTTAGCAGTTTTCACAGATTCTCTGGGTGAGTGTTAGTCCTCAATTAGGATTGTGCAAAAAAAAAAAAAAACAAAAGAAAACAGGAGTCCTAAGCAACAAAAAGCAGCTTATGAGTCAGAATTTCCAGTGGGGGCTCTAATGATTTTCAGGGCATTATAAACTGGCTGTGCAAACGTCACGTAATTGTCTGCCAGGCTGGGCTGAAATGAGAGGTGGTTTCTTGTGAGCTGTGAGCTGTCCTTGTCTTACAGCACTCGTGGGTTGAGCAGATGAGCTGCTTCAGTGCCCACTTGCCACAGTGATCTCTGTTGGGTACTCGTGATTCCAGTGCTGGGGTGGGCACGTGGCAGTTGTCAGATCAGGGCCTTTAACATCCAGAAATGTCTCTCAAGTGGCTCATTTCCAGTGGCTCTGAATTTCAGAATTTGGGGCCGAAATATCAGAAAAATTAGCTGTGTGGGCAGTAGTTTGTAAGAGAACATTTGAGTAACTAGTGTTACCCAGAAAATAGATGGTTTAGTGTCTTCAGGACATATAATTTCTTTGTCCAGCTGCTTTGCAAACAGACGTTTCTGTGATTTTTTTTTTAAAGATGTATAAAGTGAAAAGAAGTCCTTTTTGTATGAGGTGTTTATACTTAAATCACAAAGGCTAGATAATTTAAACCATGTGTTGTCCTTAACTGTATTTATTAAAGCACTAGGCATATGTCTTGTTCTGAGCTATGCTCTTAAGTTCTGTGAAACAATGCAGCAGTCTTTGCACTCGATTAACAGAACACTCTAAAACAGCCCTGCAGAAATGTCCCATCAGCTGCTGGTGTTGTGTTCCACGTGCTGGCACAGCACCTGCTTTCCAGGGCTGTAATTTTGATAGTTGCTCAGTCTGTTGAGTCGCTTCACTGGTTTGATTCAGCACTTGATTTATGCTTGAACACTGTAAGAAGGTGCTCATTTTTAACTGTTTTGCTGAACAGAGGTAGAGGGAAGACCTCAGTGCCACAGGGCCTTAAGGAAAGTGTTGGGTCCTTGCAGAGGAACAGTAGGTAGGCCCTGTCCCTGCAGTTACCTGGATGAATGGTTGACTTCACACATTTTGGGTAAGCCTGTTCAGACCACTGGGGAAGGTCTCAACATCTAAATGCATAAATCTGGGATGTGCTTGGGCTGTGAGCTGTAGTTAAATGGGAAGGAATTCTGCACCAATGTTGCTTGAAAAGACTTCTATCCCCAGTGGATTGAAACAGCTTCTGTTGGGGGGAAAAAATAGCACTGCAACCCCAAGACATCCATACTGGCACAGCTTCAGGGGCTGTGTGAGGAGGGAGGGATTGGATGGAGGAATTCTTTAGCTGAAGATTCCAATCCCTTTCCCCTAAAAACGTATGTAGAGCTTTGTATTAGTTTATTGAAACAATTCAAACCCTGCTGGGCTCAGATTTTGAGAAGCTGTTCCCTGTGGGCTGAGGTCTTAGTTTTAAAAAGCTTTTGGTTGTATTTCACAGTTAGAGGCTGTAAAGATACTTTGTTTGTGTTTGGGTTTCACTTGTTGGGGCTGCTGCTGTTATTTATTTATTTATTTGAATAGCTTTTGCACTTCAGTGACTGGGGTATGGGTTAGTGATGAAGTTGGAGGTGCTGGGCCGAGTCCTTCCTTCCTTCCCTCGATTGTAGGAGGGAGTTGGGACTCTCAGCGTGCCCGTGTCTCCTTCCATGTTAATCTGCAGCATTTTGGTTCCTCCCAGCTACAAAACTGCTGGACAAGAAGATGAAGATTTGCTTTTCTTTCTTGAAAACCCTAAAGGATCCCCCTTTAGGTGGATAAACAGTGTGTTTTGTTAGTATTGGGTGTCGGTATGCGTTGATCTGGAAATGAGCAAGACTGACAAAGTCGTGTATGTAGAAATGTGAGTGACCAGTAGGTACAGCCAAATTTAAATATGACTGCAGGGTTTGTTCGTTTTTTTAAGGCTGGTTATTGTGAATTTTATCCTTTACCAACCTGTGTTGAATAAAAATAGATTCTGTTCTAAAATGAGAAATGGTGATTACTTTGTCTTTTACATCTCCGTGAAGAAATGCTCCATTTATGGGTCGGAAGGACAGATATCCCTGTGAGAGTAATGAAAATGGCTCATTAGGAGAACAAATTGGACCCTTCTGTTTTAAAATCAGTGCCCTTCTTAACTTCAACATGTCATTTATTTTCATTTTGTGGAATTGTGGCTTGTATTTCCAGTCAGCTGCATCAGATGGGTATATTCTATTTACTTTGGTATGGCAGGGAAGGAGAAACTTGCCTGAGTCTGACTTGACATGTAGTTTTAAGGTGACTTTTTTTGTTGTCTGCTTTGCCTGCTCTTCAGTACATATGGAATTGAAAAGCTTCACCCTTTCTCTCTTGCTCTGATCACCTTGAGTATTTGTTGCTGTGATTCTGTTAGGATGTTTGATAGGGTTTGTGCGCCTCTGCCCGAGATAAAATGTCCAGACTGCAGACACACTGGGGAAAAAACTGATTGGAAAGGAAAACAATTTCTGGTTACAGAATTTCTGATCAAAATGTGCCTGAAGTGCCTTCCAGGAATAGGCAAGTAATAGCTGGGGTGCCTTTTAAAAGAAGGGAGACTTGAATCCCATTTTTTTTCTGCCTGATGGGGAGCAGGAGCCTCCAGCGGGTGCTTGGACCTTTTGTGAACGCTCCAGCTGTTGCCAAATACACATCAGGGAAGGTTTGTCCCCACCGGGTGTAGGAGGGGTTTATACAGGGTGGGAAGAAGTTAAAATAGGTAGCAGGGAAGGTGGTGCTGTGTTCACAGGTTGCTTTGAGACCTTTTTTGCCTCTTAAGTTAAACTGCTAACCCCCTGCATGCACTAAGGTAGACCTACTCCTCAGTGTTTTGTCAGTCAGGAAATTCCATGAGGGATTCTGCCATCCATTTCAGGAGGTTATTGTGTCTGCTTCTGGCATAATGTCCTTAGAATAACAACTGGAATCCACCGGTATGTTTGTGCCAGTGTTGTGCTGCCTCCAACTCTGGCTGACCTCCTCGTGTGTTTAGGCTTGGGAATCTGTTGGATTGCTGCTGGTAGGTTTCTCCAGTGACCTGTGTTTGTATGAGAAGTGCTGCTCAAAACTAGGCAGGTGTAAGACGGTGTAAATGAAATCAGAGGATGCTTAGAGCTGTTGGAGGCTGCTGGTTTTTCATACAGGATTAATCTGGGGAAGATTGTTGACAATTCCATCAAATGATGAGGCCCGGAGTCGGTAATGGTGGTGTTTGATGGTCTGAATGAAATTTTGTGGCCTGTATATTAAGTAAGTAGTTAGATTAGATCATTTCATGATTTGTCCCAACCTCTGACAGGATATTCTGGTTGCTCACCTACATCACTGTCACCTTAGAGCAAGTCTGGTTTGATTTTGTTTTGCCCTCTGCTGAACCAGCCACGTGATGGTAGGGACACGTCCTGCCCTGCCTGGGGAGGGACTGCAGACCCCTCTGGGGGAGCTGTGTCTGTGTCCTCTGGGGCTCTGGGAACCTTGAACTACATTTGCTGACAAGCTGAGTTAAAAATCTGACTGTCATCCCTGCAGCTGGGGAGAGGGAAGGGGAAGATTGAGCTGCTGTTGTGCTTCAGTCTTGTGCCCAGTGACCTTAACGTTGTGTTATGTGTCTCACTGCCTGAGTTTAATAAGCTGGGTTGTTATAAAGTATTAGTTGTTTCCTTCTTTGTCTCCCTTCTTTTGGTTAGTTTCCAGTTTGGAATGAGGAGATAATTAGTTGGTGCATGGCGTTTGTTTTTACTTTTTTTTTCCCCCCTTTGTGTTTCCTCTGTATACCAGTTACCCTTTGGCTGCAGTGAAACATTCACAGCTGGTAAACTGCGAACACAAAAGGCAAACTTTCTTTAGGCGTATTCCAGGAACCTGCTCATCTCCTGCAGTAGGAAATCAGCTACAAAAATGTGTCCAAAGTCTCTTTTGGTGCTGTACTTACCTAGGGGGTTTTAGGGATGTTTTCTTCACCTCATGATGATAATGGGGGTGGGGTTTCTCTCCCTCCTTCTTTTATAAAAGTAGCTGTCAAAGACTTAACCTCTTTTCCACAATATTCCCTTTGGTCCAGTTGTTTGTTTCAGCAGAGGAGGACACTAAACTTGACACGTGTGCTGCCGTGTAAGTATAGGCACTGGAATGCTGTTACAAGGCTATCTGGTATCTGCATCCTGAACAGGTGGTCTGAATTTCTTGGGTTATTCAGAAACCAGCGGCAGCTTCTTGTGTTGAGGCCAGAACTCGAAGCAGCAGCCTGAAACGAAGTGATCAATAATTTCTGAGTTCTCACCTCTTTTTGTGATGCAGTATGGGCAGCTCATCACAGCTGAATCACATACAGGCAAAACTTTTGGAAGGAGAGAGTTTCTTCTGAATTTTTCTACCAACACAGTGACGTTATTTCTGCTGCAAGGATGGAGTATTATATTCGAGTCTGAGTCACCCAATTTCACCACAGGCCACATGAGGCTTCAGCTTAATAAGTACAGCAGGTTCTGAATCTTATTCTTAAATTGCTCTGATCATCTGGTAGGAAACAGCTGAGTGTTGTGTCATTCTGTGGCACAATCTGCAGGTTTAGTTTTGTACCAGTAGGTAACAACGGGATTCAATTCAGCCGTCACTGTTAGAAGTCTTTATAAAGCTTCTCCTCCCTTTTCCTCTGGCTTCAGCTTTCCTGGTACACGAAAGGAAGAAAGTGTGGTAACAAAGAACCTGAGAGGTCACCAAAAAAACATCAAAAGCACATTCTCTCTTCTGAATTTTTCTCGCTTGCTTGGCACTGAGAGAAATCCATAATCCTCCACCACAGATGTTTCGCGTGTCTGCCTGCAAAAAAGGTGGCTGAAGGTAGAGAAAAATAGAACCTTCTGGCTTCCTTGCTCTGATTTTCACAGTGGCAGTTCTCAAAATAGGGGCCACCACCCCAAAAAGGCAGAACTGGGCAGACTGACAAATCCGGGGTGCAGGCAGAGAAGCCCAGGAATGGTTGGTTTAGGACTGATACCTGCATTAGATTAGACAGAATAAATTACTATACAGTTCCCTGTCAGGCAAGTCATGAGACTCTGCATTTACCCCAGACGTCAGCAAATAATCTTTTGAGGAGGATGAAATTCCTCTCCAGCAAAGCACCTAGAAATGGTGCTGGAATGGATGAAATTCCCTGAGCATCTGAGGCAGAACTAACACATGCAGTTCTCAGAACAATGTTCCCTGTCATTTGAAATGAGACCTCTCCGTAGAAATGTTTCAGATGATGTAAGCCTTACAGTAACAGGGAAAACAAAGCTCCTGTGTTTGTCCTGCTTGAAATCATCTAATAAAATAATGCATCTGTCAAAGCAGCGTTTAAATGTCATTCCTGTGTGTCATCAGAAAGGAAATGTTATTCTGAAATGCAGACTGGTTCCCTATACACGGCTTTTTCAGACTTCCCAGACCCATAAAGGCAGTCGAAATGGATGATTAGCAGCTCTGGTAGAGTCACCTTATGCATCCCTGTAAACATCAGGAGCTGCCTTCTGTACGTTCTTTCTACCATCTCTGTTGTTCAAGCACATTTGAAATTGTCCTCATAAATGGGTTCTGCTGGGAAAAACAAGAACAAACAACCCCATGATAAACTGCCTCGCTATTCTGATTTTTTTAAGCCAAAAGAAAAAAAAAAACCCACACTGATCTAGTGCTGCGTGACTTTCCAGCAAGTTTAGTATTCTGTGGCATGAATCCGTTTTCAAGCACGTTTGTCCAATTAATTACCTTGTGAATTACAATTTGATTCACCCAGAGTCAAATCCTGGATCCTTCTGGAGCGTGCAGCCTTTGCTGGGCTCTTCCTGGCACAGGTATCGGGGCTGCCTGCTCAGCTGATGCTCCCTGGGGGGATGTGCTGGGCTGGGATGCCAAGGGCAGGATGCTTTCACAAAAGTGACCCTTGGTGATGGAATTTGTGTCTTAGGAGGACTCTATTATAGAGTTTAAACCTCCTTACCTTTAGAATGAGAAGCAGAGCTGGTTGCTGAAGGCTCTCAAGGGATCCTGGCAAAGAAACACGGAGCAGATGCACCCCAGGGAGCAGCACAGGGGAGAAACTGGACTCCAAAAGCGTGAGGAGTAGCAGTGCAGTGTTGGGATGTGCTAATCTTGCAGGAGGTTTGGGTATCCTCATGGAGGACTCAGCAGAAAATTCCTAAAATCAATATTCAGCAATGCAGGAACAAGCAGGTAATGGTGGTGTTTGTTGCAACATGATGCTGTGGCACACCAGCAATATTAAATTCATGGAGCCACCACGTCTCAGAGGGGGGTGTGTGTGTGTGGCGTTTGGGGAGGGGAAGGAAACATGTTCACAGTGCATGTCGTGCCTTAGAGCTTTATAGAGCCACTCACAGATAGGGAATGTGCACGCAGAGATGGACTCACAAACCAAGCACCTGCTGAACAGCAGCTACTCTTCTTCAGACACAGCTCCGGTCTCAGCGGCTCGCTCTGGGAACGTGGTGTGTTTGGGGGGGAGGAGAGGGGTGTGCAGAAGGAAAACAGACCAGAAGCACCATTTCATGAAGTGAAACAAAGTGGTGTGTTGCCTCTGGCTGCCTCTCCCTGGCTCGAGGGTCAGGCTCCAAAGCGAGCAGGGCTGGGTGTGCCTGCAGGGATCCTGCTTTGGCGGTGAGCGATTCCGGCTCTGTGGCTCTGCTGCTGTGCCTGGGGCAGGAGGTTGTGCCGCTGGCTGGGGGGCTGGATGGCAAATTGCAGGGAGATGTCGCCCCGTGGATGAAGTGGGGCTGGGGGAGGAACGTGGAGCCCCTTCAGCTGTGGCAGGTGAAGGCACTGAGGCAGAGAGTGGGGAACAGAGCAGAGATCGGAGGAGTGATGGTGATGGAAGAGCAGCAGGAGGGAAACAGAGTCACAGTGCAGGGAAAAGGTGTGGGGGGTTGGAGAGACAAGCTGCACACAACACTCTGTCCTTTTCAGTGGAGG